CACACATGCGACCTCTGCAACAGAGATAGTCACTCTCACATCGGCCTCTACCGTCACAGACGTCGATGCTCCTGTCATGCTAATAAGTAGGGGCATTTTGTTTTTTGATCACAATGTCTGGGCGATTAGCTTTGATTGTTTTGTCCGATATTATTATTAATATTATTAATAGAAGTGTTATTAATGGCAGTAGGAGAGGGCATCAACATAGAATCTTGGGAGAGCCTGGCAGCCATACAATCCAAATGGAGAGGAACCCTGACCAAACATCTGAAGTCAGGGGTGGAGAAGCTGACATAAATCGCCACGGAAGGCAAAGTGGGCCCGCAGAAAGCAAAGTGACAGCTCCAACAGACCAGAAACAGAACACACATGCACAGAGATTGTCACTCCCGCTTCGGCCTCTACAGTCACAGACGTGGATGCTCCAGCCAGACAGACAACTAGGATACTACCCCTGGTCAACCCTGACCGACGGAAAACTACTACTAGTAGGAGCAGAAGCCGTTCAATACTTATCGAAGGACAACTCAGAATTTCGTAACTTTTTAATCACTTATCGGGACTCTAAACATTTTTTTTTCTTTGAACAAGCGAAGCCCGTGAGTCTTCGTTAAATCTTGTGGACTGACGCCACAGAACCAGAAAAAAAAAGTGCTGTGCCAATAGGGCAGGTCGATTTTGTAACAGTGGTATTTTACTCAATTTGAATGCTGGGGTTTCACATGATAAATAACGACAAATATATATATATATATTTTTTCCAAATTGTTAGTTTTTTGAGGAGATTGGTTTCAAGGTTAAGTTTAGGTTCAAAATCGTAGCGTTGGATATATATTAGGTTGGTGCAAAAAATAATTGTAATAATGTCGTTTTTTGACGTTAAAAAAATACATCAAAAAAACGACATTATTACGTCATTATTTTCGCACCAACCTATATATATATATATATATATATATATATATATATATATATATATATATATATAATAGGCCGCTTAATAAAGTTGGATGAAGAAAACGCCGACAAAATTGTAGCAATATTGGCAAAAATTTTGACTAAATTGAAACGCGAAGTGAAAGATTTTAAAGTCGGAATTTTTGGACACGCCTGTGTCCTTTTTCAACGAGACGGGGAATAAAGAAAGAAATGGGATTCACTCCACCGAGAGTGTTGTTGTTGGTTAAAGGTCTCTCTCTAGAAAGTATTATCTCTGAGTTAACCCAAATCCAAGTTTAATTCCTGAATTTGTGATTTTATTTTGAAAATGTATTTCAACTTATATTTTTGTATTTCTTGTCGGCCGTTGAATGAAGACGTTAAATATATAAATACACACACACGCATATATATGTGCGTATATATACACACACACATATATATATATATAAATATATGTGTGTGTGTGTATGCGTGTGGCATATCTATTAAAAGATAATTGGAAAAAATGTTCATGAATGTATAATATTTCAAAAAAAAATATCTGATAATGAATTTCGCACCATTTTGGGCTCCATCAGATACTAGCCGAAAAAATGAATTGCGTGCGCATGTATTTGTCTGTTAATTTGAAATAATGCGATCATATATTTTATGTATGGCGTTGCACGTGACTAGAAAAAAATTCTTAACACAAACACACACACACACATATACAAATATTAAGAATATGAGCTAAAGCTTAAAATATAAAATAAACTTAGAGATCAATATCAAAGTCGACAGAGCTTAAAGTATTAATATAATAATATCAAAATCCACTACCCAGAGTAAAATGCAAGAGACGCATTTTGCTTTACGCTCCTTTCTATTTTTGTATATTCAGTGAACTAGTTCCTTATGCGCATGTATGCTGTTTGCTGCCAGTATAGTTTCTTGATTATTCAGATATCTTTCCCGAATATATTGAAGTTGCGGAGCAGTTCCATCATTTCTGTGTCTGCTATCAGTATTGTGTCATCTTTGTATCTTTTGTTGTTAAGATTGTGGCTGCCAATGTTAAATCCCATTAGGGTTTCCAGTTCCCTCAGGATTGCCTCACTGTATAGGTTGAACAGGTCAGGTGAGAAGACACATCCTTGCCTTATGCCCCTTTCTATTTTTGCGTATTCACTGAACTTGTTCCCTATATGCATGCATGCTGTTTGCTGCCAGTATAGGTTCTTGATTATTCTGATATCTTTCCTGAGCAGGCTGCTGAGTAGTTCCATCAGATCCTTGTGGTGTATTTTGTCAATGGCCTTTGCATAGTATATGAAACATAGGTACACGTCCTTCCACATCTGTATCGCTCTTTCTGATAACATTCTGAGCATGAATATTGCGTTCCTTGTTCCAGTGTCTTTAATGAATCTACACTATCTCTGGCCTGATTCTGCTGCATGCTCTATTCAACAGAATACGGATGATGAGTTTTGTCACATGGCACAGTAGGCATACCGTTCGATGGAGTCTGCATTCATTTGCACCTAGTTTCTTAGGCATAGCTATGAAGATAGATCTGCTGAGGTCTTCCGCTATATCTCCACTGTTGTAGATTTCATTTGTTATTTCGGTGATCTTGTCTATGCCAAAATCATCTAAGGCTGTCATCATTTCCATTACAATTCCGTCTGGCCCAGCTGCCTTGTTTCTGTTCAATTTGGCCAGTGCAGCTTTTACTTTGGTTTTTAGAATTCCAGCTCCGTCAGTAGTTCTGTGTATTGCTGGTTGTTCCCTTACATCGTGGAAAAGTTCTTCAATATACTCATTCCAGCATTGAAGAATTTTTTCCTTTTCTAATATGAGCATTCCATCCTTTGATTTCAGGAAACCTGTTGACCAGCATGTCTTTTGTCCTGTTAGTTGTCTTATTTGTTTGTGCATGTCTCTTTTGTTGGTAGTACTCAATCTTTCTATTTCTGCACATTTTCATTCAGCCATTTTTCTTTTAGCTTGCCTGCATTTGGTCCTTATTTCCTTGTGTAATTTTCTGTATTCCATTCCATATCTTGGCTGAGTTTTCTGTCTTCTTTCCATCAAATCAAGAATCTCATCAGTCATCCATTCGTTTCTCCTTCTTTGTCCTGTCTCCTTTGGGATGATATCATTTGCTGATGTCACTAAAACATAAATCACAGGATGTCATCATTATCATGGGGGACCTAAACGCCCTGTGAGTATTAGATTCTCCAGGCCTTCATTATGTGTCCCAGGAACTTCATCTGCCTCTTCCTTATATTAAGTATAAGCTTCCTCCTTGTTCGCATCTTGCTTATTTGTGGCAGCCAGCCACAAATAAGCAGGAAGCAAACTTTTTATTAAGCGGCCTATTATATGTATATATATATATATATATATATATATATATATATATATATATATATATATATATATATAAATATATATCCAATGCTTGTCGGCTTTTTATTCCTCAAACTTTATTAACGGCCTATTATATATATATATATATATTAGTCCTACTCCTTTGTTATTCTTCTCGCCTCCTGCCTAAATTATCCCGTGTTTGTCGCTGACAAAGTCACCGTTGTTTGGCCATTTAGTTTCACATGCACGTAGAATGTTGATGTTAAGTCTGTTCATCTGAAATCTTCGCCTGCGATGTGAAAAGGCAGATGAAGTTCCTGGGACACATAATGAGAAAGGAAGGCTTGGAGAATCTAATACTCACAGTTCGAATAGACGAAAAAAGAGACAAGGAAAACGTGTGTTTTTCGTCGATGATCATTAAGGAATTAGGGCTCATTGAACATTATACCCTACTTTCAAGTTTCCATTGTGTGCCTCGTATCTTCCTTTAACATTGTCTATATATTTTTCTTTTAGGTTAGGATTGCTTAGGAGTTTGTTGTCTTGCAGTTTGGGCGCTGTGTTAGGCTTCTTCAATTTCTGTAGTTTCACTCTTAGCTTACATATAATATGATGATGATCACTTCCGCAGTTGACTCTTGGGTAAGTTTTGCAGTGAATCATTTCATTCTTGTATCTTTTGTTGAAGGTTATATAATCAATTTGGTTTTTAGTTTCTCCTCCTGGGCTTCTCCATGTCCATAGTCATCTCAGGTGTTCTTGGAACCATGTTTTTTCTATTGCCTGTGCACCATTGGATCCATTTTTTCCGCATTCGTTGCGGGTTCCTAGGATCTTCCTGCTATATCTCCTGCTCTTTCCCTGACAACTTTGTCGTTTAGGTACCCCTTGATAATGATGTCTTCCTGTGATTTGCATAGAGCCCTGACACTGTCCAGCATGGAATGGAACGATTCAATGTCCTCGTCCCTGCTTGGTGCCATCGATGCTTAGACTACTATAACAGCCACGTTGAAAGGCTTCCCTTTCAGCTTCGCTACCGGAATTCTTTTGGAAAGCTGATGGTATACTAGAACGCATTTCCTAAGCTTGTTATTTAGTATTAGTCCTACTCCTTTGTTATTTTTCTCGCCTCCTGCCTAAATTATCCCGTGTTTGTCGCTGACAAAGTCACCGTTGCTTGGCCATCTGGTTTCACATGCACCTAGAATGTTGTTAAGTCTGTTCATCTGAAATCTTCGCCTGCAATGTGAAATTATGACGTTTGAAATACTTCTGAACTTTCAGTCGAACCGCGTCCACACACACACACACACACACACACACCATCACACAAACACACGCACAAACACACACATACACACAAACTCACACACGCAAAAACACACACACAAACACACACATACCATCACACAAAAAACACACATACAAACACACACACAAACACACACACACGCTCGCGCATATATATTATATTTTACTCGTCTACATCGTGAAAGGACACGGTAGAAGCATGTCGAAAGTAAACACGTTTTCTCATACGAAGCATTTTTCAAAGTTCTCTTTTTGTTGCAGAATTGGTGCTTTTGAAAGGTTATATGATTCAAACCGATACAAACATCGGGAAAATGAAGACTCTTGCAACAACATTAAATACTAAAATGTCTAGCTTAAAAACAAAAATTGACCAAGACATTGCGTCATGCGGATCCCCATGCAGTGCACCAACAAGCGCCCTCGACACTAATTTCTCACCGCAACAGGTTTGTATGATGAGCTTTTAAAAACTTTTTTAACGATTTTCTTACGTTATTTTTTCACCCAATACAAAACTTCAGTAGGTACTCAAGGCAGAAAGTTTCTGAATGGAGTTGTTTTATGGAGATAAGCATTATCTCTATCTATAAAAGTCAGGATGTGTGTGTGTGTGTGGGGGGTGTGTAACGAATGCACGGCTGCCATTTTCGACGGATTTGCACCAAAATTTACATGCACATGCTCCAAGTTAGCGGAAAGGCCAAGACCGACATTGCATTTCCCAACTCCCATCGATAGTGGAAATAATCGATTTTTTTCATGCTTCTATAGCAGTTTTCATGTAGTTTGCGGCCATTTTCTACTGGCCAGAGTGAGAGCCACGAATAGGCAGGATGCAAACAAGAAGGAAGAGGCAGATGAAGTTCCTGGGACACATAATGAGAAAGGAAGGCCTGGATAATCTAATACTCACAGGTCGAATAGAGGAAAAAAGAGACAAGGGAAAGCAACGCGTGACATACCTGGCGGGTTTAAGCAAGTGGATGACAGAACGTGGTCTGGGGGAGGAAGCAGGGGGAAGGAACTTGTTGAGAGCTCCAAGAAATAGAAAGAGGTGGAGTGCCATGATCACCTACGTTCTAAAAGGACACGGTATATAGAAAGAAAGAACTTGAGGTTTGGTTGGAGATTTCTGTATTAACTTTATTAATATATTAGATGTGGTTCTACAGAAGCATGCTAAGGATATCATGAACTGAGCGTGTGAGCAACGATGAGATCTTAGAGAGGCTGCAACAAAGAGGAGGCTTAATACTTAACATCAGGAAGAGGCAGATGAAGTTTCTGGGATACATAATGAGGAAGGAGGGTCTGGAGACTCTGATACTCACAGGTCGAATAGAGGGAAAGGGAGACAGAGGGAAAACAACTCATGACATACCTAGCGGGCTTAAGCAAGTGGATGACAGAACGTGGTCTAGGGGAGGAGGCAGAGGGAAAGAAGTTGCTGAGGGCTGCAAGGGATAGAGGGAGGTGGAGAGCCATGATCGCCTACGCCCTGAAAGGACATTACACATAAAAAGAAAGAAAGAAGACGAAAATAAATAAATACACTGTTCAATAAATGAATGAAGCGTCTATTCAAAGTATGCACGCATTTATACATTTCATTTGCATCTGTCTATATTTCTGCGTTCGACATTCCAACCACCTGAAGAAGACCGGAGCGTATAACGACCGAAACGTTGTAATAGATATGGCGACAAACATGAGGACAATAGTCCGAATAATGTAAATAGTGATTTCATTTGCATTTATGTAATTTTCAGTTATCTGCATTTATATATTTCATATGCATTCGTGTATTTTCCATGAATTTTATTTTAAATCACCTCAAGCAAGGCGGGAGTGCCACTAGCACGCAGGGGGTTACACAGTGTTACAGAGGGGAGTTGTAGAAAAGAATAAAGAGGACATGGATCAAGGTCAAGGCATCAGAAGATGTCGATTGACATTACATCTGAAGATTATAGCTATCAGGAAAGCAAGTGACAGGAAGGGAGTTCCTAGCGTCCCAGGGCCCTACTCGATCACAGCCATCAAGAACCAGGATTCCCAGGGTGCTATCCCGACTACTCCCGTACAATCAGCCAGGCAATAGTGAACTGATTCCTTCCCAACGGCCAATATACTTCCGCAATGGGGAGAGGAGGAAGATGTAAAAGTCAAGTGACTTACCTGCCAACATGGCTGCCTTCTGTTTCCTTGTAAAGCAAGCCAGCTAATTTTACCTCATTTTATAGAAGAGTGAGTGCCTAATACATCAGTTAGGTTGGTCCATTTTGCTAGAATGGACCTGCACAATACATTTGCATGAGTGGTCTTTATTCACCCATATATTTCTTCATGAAATGACTCAAGTCAATTTGGGCTTTGGCTACACTTGCCTACTTGTGTGTCAGACCACTGGCAACCTAACCAATATTCTACACCTGCAGACTATACCAGATGAGTCTGACTAAAGTCTGTTACACTTGGGCGTTTCCACAGTGAGGTGGCAACCTACTAGCACGCTTGAATTGATGCAGTTTGGGAACCAGTGAAAGTAGCTCGTCGGAGTTGCCATGAAAATACTTGCAGAAAAGACAGAGGGGAGCCCAAGCACGTCTGTGAGAAAGCGACTGCAGACGAGGTGCCAGATTAAAACCGACCAAGTTGCATATGCGTCTCTGGGTTTTGCAGCTGACCATATATGACAGCAGTATTCCACGAATGGTTGATTTGTAGATTTGAAGGATGGACTCAGTCGAGAAAAAAACCTTCTGGCGCGACACAGGAACCAACTTTCCTTGCAGTAGATGTAGCGATTGATTCAATGTCAACTTCAGGTCAGCGGACAGCGTGAGACTAAGCAGGGGCATATATATATATATATATATATATATATATATATATATATATATATATATATTTTATTAAAATATTGAAGTCAACACTCAGAGTAGACAGTCTGTTTCATGTTGGGCACAATCGTCTAGCATGAAACAGGCTGTCGCCTCTGAGTATTGACTTCAATGTTCACTTTTTGTATTTACATATCTCTGATATTGAGCACATTGTCTCATATTTCTTCAGATCCATTACATTCACTCACGTACTAATACCCTTGGGAAAGGTATGAATCTTTTCCTTCTCCCCTCAGCTATGGGTAAATAAGCAGGATAGACCTGATTCTATAGACTTAACAACCTTAAAATCTACTTTTAACCTTTCATAGTGGTTTAACCCTCGCTTAGGTGTTAACTATTTGCCCATAGCTGGGATCCTAACAGGTGCTACCACCCTGGGTCAGGGTGGACCTGAGAAAACACCAGCAACCTCTTGATCAGAGACCATGCTGTCAGACGTAGTTTATCGTCTTACCCAGGATGCGTTTATCGATATACAATATATATATATATATATATATATATATATATATATATATATATATATATATATATATATATATATACTAGCAGTAGAGCCCAGCGTTGCCCGGGGATGTAACAGTAAGAGATAGATCAACTATCTTTATAGACTGAAAAATAAAATTGATAAAGATTATTGTTTAAGGTTGACGGACACGCGTGTCTCAATTAAAGCATTCTGAATGTAAAAATAAAGAAAAAAGTCTGCAAGGCAATAAGAAACACTACCTGCCAAAAACAAAAAAAGTGAAGTTTTGTTGAAATCGGTTGAAAAATGTAGGAAATCCGATCCCATATATAAACGAAACACACACACACACACATAAACAACCTGGGTTTTATAATAAGTATAACTCGATATGAGTTGTCCCCCTTTCATTCTGGCGACAGAATTGTGTTTTATCATGTTTTCAAATTGATTTCGTGCAAAAACAATTGTGTTTTACCAATTTTTGGTGCTGTCAGAACCACCGCAAGGTAATTTTACGCAGTCCTGTGAAATCGGTTGAAAAAAGTAGGAAATCCGATCCAATATATGAACACACACACACACACACACACACACACACACACACACACACACACACACACACACACACACACAATCTGCGTTTTATAATAAGTAAGATTTCTTGGGCTTGTTTTCTGAGGCGAGACCTATAAACTTTTCCGCATAAAATACTTATAAGTTGATAGAGTAGTCGAAGTGTGAGAAAAGTTGTAGCTGACGGATGGCACACAATCCATATCAGATCACTGCCGACTCGGTCACTGTGGAAAGTGTAATGTTCAATGGCCCCTAAATCCTTAATGATCATCGATGAAAAACACCACTGATGACGTGTGCCAAAACATCAAACCGATTTATTTCACCAATGTAAGTTTTAGAAACAAATGTTTTGCAAAATAAAAAAGAAATTAAATTTCCTGATGGGAGGCAGAGGGATGGTCCTCTATGGTGGGTTAATGTGAGCAGTTTCGTTTTAGACGCATTATTTATGTATTTATTTCATATTTATGTATTTTTCAGTTACCTGATATAACAAATGAATTAAACAAAATAAAAGGCGTCGACATTGTTAAGCAAATACAAAAAGTAAGTATCTATCTATCTATCTATCTATCTATCTATCTATCTATCTATCTATCTATCTATCTATCTATCTCATTCTGCTTCTATCTATCTATCTATCTATCTATCTCATTCTGCTTCTATCTATCTATCTATCTATCTATCTATCTATCTATCTCAGATTGGTATCTCTGTGGATTTTGCGTAGACTAAAATACGCCAGCACCATAATTGCGGGAGGTTAAAACCACCTCCTGAGGTTCCACGCTTCGGCTGGAAGCTCGCAGACTCGCGTATAAACCCGATCAAAGTTTACTTATAACCTGACGTACTATCTCATTCTGCTTCTATCTATCTATCTATCTATCTATCTATCTATCTATCTATCTATCTATCTATCACAGCCTGATATCTATCTATCTATCTATCACACTCTGATATATGTGGAAAGTGGGGGTATAATGTTCAATGACCCCTAAATCCTTAATGATAGATAGATTAATGATATCTATCTATCTATCTATCTATCTATCTATCACACTCTGATATCTATCTATCTATCTATCTATCACACTCTAATATATGTGGAAAGTGGGGGTATAATGTTCAATGACCCCTAAATCCTTAATGATAGATAGATTAATGATATCTATCTATCTATCTATCTATCTATCTATCTATCTATCTATCTATCTATCACACTCTGATATCTATCTATCTATCTATCTATCTATCTATCTATCTATCTATCAGCCTCTTATCTGTCTATGTCCATTTCGAATAATCTGAAAGTTTTAAGAGACACCAAATAGATCGCTTTTTTCATATATTTCAGCCAGAGAAAGACTTCAATGATATTCCGGAATTAGTGCATAATAAATCTCTAACAAAAGTAAAAGGTAAATAGCAAATATTTTTTCGCTTTTATTAAATGCATCCGTGCGTGCGCACGCGCGCGCGCGCACACACACACACACATTCACACACACACAAACGGGCATATAAATCTTGCCACGCTTCACACTGGAAAGACCTGGTGGAGGATCCGGTTAAGTTACGACCGTGTAGCAGATATTTTTTATTGGCTTGCTGTCTTCAAGTCACCTGGCATTATTTGTTTAAAAAATCTGTCGGCAATGCGTTTTGGTTAAATTGGACTTACTAGGCTGTGTTGGATAATGTTTTAAGACGAAAATGATCGAGGCCATTGCACCTTTTCGTCTTTTTTCCTTTGTTTGTTTGTTGTAGAAGCTTGTTCTGAGGAGCATGCGCTTCTTACATCTTATAAATGGTACTTCACTGTCGTTCGGGAGAAATATCCACGACATACCTCCCAGAAATATGTCACATAATGTTCAGACATTAAACAGATGAAGGCTGTACCTCGACGGGATGTAATGGTTAGCAATCTTGTCTCGATGGATCAATTTCGACTGGGCAGCGAGTTCGATTCTTGCTGGGGTTCCTTATATTTTCGGCCTTGTCCCACAGGTAAGCTTAGAAAACCAACATTTGGTCTTAGTTTGACGTGGGGTAATTGCTTGTCTCGCTAAATCAATTACGATGTGAGTAGTACAATTCTTGCCATACATTCGTCCTTGTGCCACATCTAAGCTATGTTTAGAAAACCACCATTTGAACAGTTCGGCGTGGTGTAATTGTTTGTCTCGCTAGATCAATTACGACTGAGTATCGACTTCAATCCTCGCTAGTTGCCCAATACTTTCGGCCTTGTGCCACATCTAAACTTCGCTGTAAAATCATTCAGGCTACTTGAGGTGTCGTAATTGTTAGCAATTGTTTGCTAGAAAACGACAGATTAGCGAGTTCGATTCTCACTCGATTCCCCCATTCTTTCAAACTTGAGCCACATTTAAGTTACGTGTAGAAATCACCTTTAGTATTCATTGTCACTAATGTCTTACCATTATGTGGGAGGTATTTCTTACCATTATGTGGGAGGTATTTCTGGCGCATTCTATGTATCCAACTACTTGGTATGGGTGTTTTTTGCTGGATAAATATTATGTACGTTCGATCCCCGCTGAGAAGTCACTCAGTTAGTTATGTGCCATTCGATACATGACTGAATTGGCAGATTTTTTCCCGCAGTAGGTTGCCATTTCTTTCTGCGGTAGACCAGTTGCCATCCAAGGCTATAGAACCTGGTCTGTCCTGCTATTTACCCATAGCTGGAGGGAGAAGAATAGGATTCATACCTTTCCAAAGGTTATTAGCACATAAGTGAATGTAATGGATTCGACTGGAATTCGAACTCTGGCTCTCTGATTTCTCAATCCAAGCTGCTATCCATTACGCCGCCGTGCCTCCTGAGAAGGACACTTTCTTTAATAAGACTGTAAAAGTTGTCTCCCTTAGATTACTAAATTTACGTTTTTAATTCATCTTTATGAATGCTAATTCTATGGGAGGAAATGATGTATAACTTATTTATAGGCCGCGGCAGAAATACATACCATATTTTATATTATCACCTGTGTAGCACTAGGGAAGTTAGGCAAGTGGCCATGGTGTCTTCATCTAGCTAATGTATTGCTTTTATATAAGTAGTATTTCTGGAAAGTATGCGTGGAAGCTATTTCTGTCATACTCTCTATATAAAAAAAATGATATTTGGGATTGTAATTCTTTCTTTTTATGTCATGTCCTTTCAGGACGTAGGTGATCATGGCTCTCCACCTCCTTCTATCCCTTGCAGCTCTTAACAATTTTTTTCTCTTTGCCATCTCCCCCTAGACCACGTTCTGTCATCCACTTGCTTAAGTCCGCTAGGTATGTCATGCGTTGTTTTCTCTTTGTCTCTCTTTCCCTCTATTCGACCTGTGAGTATCAGATTCGGTGGAGGAGTTGGATGAGCCATGACCAATTCATGCATCCTTCACCGGACTATGATGGTGGGGATCATGATTACTGGTTAAAATTTAGATCAGACATACAGTGGCCAGGGTACAGCCACTCCTGTGTCATATTTGAGGGTAGTGACATGACACTTTCCACATACAAAAAAAAAAAAAAAAAAAATGACATAGATAAAGCCCTTCGTAAAGTGTGGGCTGTACTTGTGAAAACAATTTTTTTGTATTTCTTTGAGGCATGGACTTCCAGGAATCTCTTCAATTAGTCTACTGGAGTCTTTTACAACCAATCCTAGGGCTCCAACTACAAAAGAGATTGTTGATGTTCCCATGTGCCACATTTTTGAGTACTATTATTATTATTATTATTATTATTATTTACTTTGATATTTGTTGTATTCTCATTTCTTTCCGGGTTCCTACCATAGAACTAAGGTCAGAAATAGAAATCTGAGATTGTCCACTGAACATTTTTGTAAAAATAAATAAATAAATAAATAATAATAATAATAATAAAACAACCTAAAGACGCACAAATTATAATAAACGTCCTGTCTGTATTTCTAGGTTGAGGATTTGTCATTATTTTCACCATTTACATTCGGACTACTGTCCTCATCTTTGTTGTTATCACAACGTTTCGGCCGTTGTGCTTTCTAGCCTTCATCAGGTGTATATCAATTCGAGTAACCTAAATGGTATTCCGAACTGAACCCTTTATTTATTCTGCGAACGTAGTCTCTTCTCGTTCCGCTGCCCACGCCTAGGGATACCTTGTCTAGTTCTTATTTTTTTTTAGAACTGCTCAATTATCGCTCTCCCTGTTTCTACTGATTCCAAATACTCACTGCCCGGCCCAAGGAATGAACTCTCAATTACTATGTCACATTTTCATTTTACATAGCTTTTCGTAATATGTGTGCTGTACTTGTGAGTACATGTTTTTTGTATTTTTTTTAGGCATAGGCTACCAGGAATCCCTTGAATGAGTCTATCGAAGATTTTTCCAATAAATCCGAGGGCTCCAACTACAACTGGAAATATTGATGTCCTCATGTGCCACATTTTTGAGATTTCCAATTCAAGATCTTTGTATTTTTATATATTTTTTTTAAAGATCTTCCAAGATACATTACGATCTGTGGCAATGCCATGTCAGTAAGAAAAGCATATTTGATATTTGATCACGATGTATGGCAGATTAGCTTTGACTGTTTTGTTTGTGCGAATTGTAAAGTTCCATAAAATTCTTACATGGTCCTATCACTATAATCGGGTTTTGGTTGATGTTCATACCAAATTCTTGAAGGTTCCTTCCTGTAAAATAGTTGCAGATTTTCCAATGCAGATATTGGCCCCTAGATCATGCCGAATTTTATATTCAGTGGGTGCTAACACTATGCAACTTGATTTTCACTTTTTCTTCTTCTTCTTCTTCTTCTTATTATTATTATTATTATATTTTTTTTAAACAGATGTCGAAAAAATTCTCACTGACGTCCAACAGAAGATTCCTGAATATTTGAATAAGGCCAAGAAATTCAAGGCAGATTTGCACAGCGGAAAGGTAGGCTGAAATTTTTGGGCTCTTTTCTTGCTATTACAATCCTGAACATGCAGACGGCTGGCTATTGGGTTTCTAGTAACAGTCCTTCATAGAAGGAATTTACACACACACACACACACACACACACACACACACACACACACACACACACACACACACAAACACACATATATATATATGTGTGTGTGAAAAAAACATTAATATATAAATATAAATAAATATATATATATATAATTATTTATATAATATATCTGTGATCCTATTAAACTGTATCAGAGATAGAACTAATATATTTGATTGATGTGAGTTTTGTGACCCTGGGTTTCGCGCAAACAAACCCAAAAGAAAAAAGTTTGTCTGACGATCGCAAAAGCGTGAAACCCAGGGTCATAAACTCACATCACTCCAACCAAATATGTTAGCTCTATCTCTGATATTGAGCGCTTTCTAATAAGTACCGCGCATATAATATATAAATAATTATATATATATTTATTAATTACGCGTTAGTGGAAGTCAGATTAATGCCATAATTAATAGGACCAGTTCCAGAGTTATTTCCTTGGGAAAAACACGAATCTACTTCTTCCCTTCACCATGATCCACCGCCGAATATCGATGGCAAAACAACACGTCAGCGTGACTGATAGAGAAATTGGTCGCCATACTGTGATCAAGTACATATGTTTCTCACATCAGCAAGCCGTTCAAACAGCTGATGATTTTCTTGTGCTTCTTTTAAATGCCATGTCCTTTAATGATGCAGGCGATAATGACTTTTTACTGTTACCTTATTATTATTATTATTTTCTTTTCATCGATTTCTGGTGTATGATCATTTATTTCCGGGTCCCAACCAGAGACCTATGGTTAGATATGGCATCACGACTAATATGCCCCGGAAAGAGATATATTTGTTCGAAGTAGCAAAGTGGGTTTGGACTACTGTAGCCGGGTAGGACAATCTAGCAGGTAACCATAATGGACTGGTCCTCGTTGTAGTGGTAGGCAATAGGCGTAACAAATAGGCGTCGATCTGTACCTCCACATCAGTCTGTATTTATGGCTGACACCAGCCAATCATATTACAGTGAGGGGGAACCTAGGTGTATGCATATTTATTACATCAATGACATTTTCCACTGAGCATTTTTTGAGGAAGAAAAACACAGCCCCACACACACAAAAAACCCACCTATGATCGCACATACTTTACATAGATAAATCCTTTCGTAAGGTGTGGGCTGTACTTGTGAATACATTTTTTTGTGTTTCTTTAAGGGATGAGCTATCAGGAATCGTTTTTATGAGTTTATCGGAATTCATTCCAATCCGAGGGCTCCAACTACAACTGGTGTTGTTGATGTCATCATGTGCCAAATTTTTGAGAATTCGATTTCAAGGTCCTTGTATTTTGATAGTTTTTTCTTTTTAAAGATCTACATTACAATCTGCAAGGATTTTAAAGATTACATTACAACCTGCAAGGACCGTCAGGTTAATAAGAAGTTACATTTTGTTTTATGCAGTCTCTGATCACGATGTCTGGTTGATTAGCTTTAATTAATCCGTCTTCTTCTTCTTCTTCTTCTTCTTCTTCTTCTTCTTCTTCTTTATTTTGCTTCCGTTCCTCTTCCTGTCCTTTCTTTATTTTGTCCTCTTGTCGTCTGCTTCTTGCAACAGTTTTTACTCATTTCTCCCGATCTCCTTTTTGCTTTACTATTATTATTATTATTATTTCCTTTGATTTCTGGCGTTCACACATTTCTTTCCGGGTCCCGCCCAGGGACCTAAGGTTAGAAATGGCATCATGATACTTTCCACTGACAAAAAAAAAAAAAAAAAAAAATTACATAGATAAAGCTCTTCGTAAAGTGTGGGCTGTACTTGTGAGAACAATCTTTTGTATCTTTTTGAGGCATGGACTTCCAGGAATCCCTTCAATTAGTCTACTGCAATCTTTTCCAACCAGTCTTAGGGCTTCAAGTACAACAAGAATTGTTGATGTTCCCATATGCCACATTTTTGAGATTTCTATTTCAAGGTCCTTGTATTTTGACACTTTTTTTGAATAAATTCAAAGATACATTGCAGTCAGCAAGGACTGCCATATCAATAAGGAGGCACCGTTTTTGTTTGTGGTCTTTAATAACAATATCTGGGCGGTTGGCTTTGATTGATCTGTCAGTGTGTATTGTGTAATCCCATAGAATTGTAACAGGTCCTATCTCCGTAACCGGGTCTGGGTGGTGTCCATACCAGTTTCTTTCAGTTTCCTTCCCGTAGAAGTTGCAAATTTTCCAGTGCAGATATTTGCCCACTCTGTCATGTCGGGTTTTATATTCAGTGGGTGCCAATATCGTGCAACCTGATACAAGATGATCAATCGTTTCTGGATATCTATCACAGAATGATCAATCATTTCTGGATATTATTATTATCATCAATATAATTATTATTATTATCATCATTCTTCTTCTTCTTCCTCTTCGTATTATTATTATTATTATTATGATTATTATTATTATTATTATTATTTCCTTTGATTTTTGTTGCATACTCATTTCATTTCGGGTCCCTACCAGAGACCTAAGGTCAGAAATAAAAATCTGACATTGTCAACTGAACATTTTGGAAAAAAAAATAATAAAAAATCATCCAAAAAACACACATTATAAATAAACGTTCTGCCTTAATTTCTAAGATGAGGATTTATCATTATTTAAACTTTGTTGCTATAACAACGATTCGGCCGTTGTGTTCTTCAGCCTTCATCAGGTGTATATTGTTGACCATGTTTGCCGTAGTCTTTGAATATAGAATCCAGTGCAGTACGTAATGTGTTCAATGGAACAACGCCAATATCACTAGTAGCAGCTGTTCTGTAATCAGCTGGTCTTCGATATCAGAGGTTGGCAGTGAATATTCGGGGAAAAAAACATGGCTGCCTTTATACACGTCGCATTGAATATTCTGAGCCTTCTGATTGGTTAACCCTTCTATTGGTGAACTACAAAGTGAGTCAGCTCATTTTGGCTGGTTCACTAGTACCACAGGCTACCCAAAAATGCCAACATATATCAATCCGGGTAGCATAAAAGGAATTTCGAATTGAAAACTTTATTTAATCTACGGGCGTAGTCTGTTCTCGTTCCATTGGCCATGCCATAACACCTTAGGAAAAGTTATTTTTTTTTTATCTTTTCATCCCAAGCAAAATGATAATGCCACTAGAGCGGAGTAGGGGGTACAGGGTATAAAAGAGAATGAAAAGAGGAGTGGGGAGGAATGAGGAAAGGAAAAAAAAGGAACAGGCTTCAAGCAGACCGAAGATGACGGTGCATTTAAATGCTTGAAGATCGTAGTTTTCAGGGAAGCAAGAAATCAGAAGGGAGTGTTTCACAGGTAAGAAGTTCGAGAAAAGAAACTAGCTAGTTCAACAATAAAACAATGAAACCTAATTGCCAATCCAATGCTTAAATTCATGTAGAAAAGGCACAACGGCAAAAGGCTCGTCAGTCAGAGGGAAGGCACTTCACGTTGGTGAGAAAGTGACTGAAGTCAAGATGTCTAGTCAAGGACGATTACATTAGAGTCACTTTGAATTTTGTCAAGAATCTCGAAATGTACACCAGGGGTACCAGATATGGTAACAGTATTCAATACAAGGACGAATGGTAGATTTATAAATATGCAACATAAAATCTGACGATACAGTGAACCAACTCTCCTTGCAGTAGACGAAGTAGTCGATTTGATATAGTCGCTCCACTTCATGTCAGTAGAAAACGTGAAGCCAAGAACACGTAGAGTGTTGCTCTGCCGATAGGAAAGCAATCTGGTTAATTTATGCCAATATGAGAAATGAGCATTGTAAATTGTCATTTTCGGGGGCCTGGTTAGGTAAAGTGAAGTCATTAATCATTCTTACCTGGAAAGAATATGCTAAATAAGCTAGCGTGCATTTCCGTGTGGGGATCGAACGAGACAGCTTCAATGACACGCCTGCATTTCGCCGAACATACAGACACAGTGAATACAGAGGAAAAAAAAAACCCAAGCGTCATTTCGTAGAAGTTAAATGCTGTAGACGTATTTTTTTTCTTCACATTAAATTCCGTTAAGGTTACAGAACGCGTTTAATTCGTTTATCAAAAAACTTTTCTCCCTCCCCAACACTCAAGCCGAACACCAACAACTCGACCGTAATCAACAACCAGAAGCGAAGTGTTACCACGCTCTACGTATGATCGATTCCTTTAATTTATACAAGGACGCAACAACAGAATAAACCTTTACTCCCCTTCAAAAGAGCGATGTGGGAGGAAGGTCTGTGAACTGGACGATAGACGAACTTATCTACTCCTGTTGAGGTTAAAAAAAAAGTTAGAAGTATAGAGTTGAAGTAGACTTTAGAAGGAAGCGGAAACCCAATTCTATGAGTATCACATTTTCCAAGCCCTCTTTCCTCATTATGTGCGCTAGAAATTTCAACGGTTTCTTTCTGATGTTAATTATGTGTACTTCTTGCTTCCATTTTGTCTAAAACTACGTTGTTGCTCACACGTTCGGTCAATAGTATCCTCAGTATCCTTCAGTAGAACAACAGTTATGTTGATTCAAGTCTAATCTTCATCCGTGAGGAGATTGTCCAGCATTCATTGTATGGACATTACATAAAAGTTCAGTGCTCTTTTCTTTGTTTCTTGCGAAATTTTCCTGTTTCTTAATACTTTGCTTAACTTTTGGAAGGCATCTTTCGCTATCCCAATGCCCATTTGGATTTTGGTATAGCATTTTCTCTCCTCTGTTTAAACGCTTCCTAGTTGTTAATTGTTGTACTGGCTTGATTTCGGTATTACAGATTTCTAATTCGTATGTTGGTCTCTTCTTTTTGATGACAACCATGCATTCTGTCTTCTTAAAATTGATGCTTAGTCCTTTTTTCTTGCTTTCTATTACTATCTTCTTCAGGAGTTCCTGTAGTTTTCTTCCTGTATTTGGTGTTAACATTGTGTCATCTGCATATCTAATGTTGTTGAGATTGTGGTCGCCAATAATGAGGTATGGTAGGACTTATAATTCTCTCAGGATTGCTTCAATTGAATAAGTCTGGCGAGAAAACACATCCTTGTCTTATATCCTTTCTGAATATATCAAGCTCACCTAGCAGTTCGAATAGTTCTTTGTGACGTTCTTTATCAAACGCTTCTGCATAATCTATAAAACATAGGTCCACATCCTTTTGCCTTTGTATTGCTCTGGAATAGATTTAATACCTTTTAAAATAGATGATTAAAATGTGTTTTAATGTTTCGTTAATAAAAAAAAATATGTTGTCTGTTGTTCAATAGATTGCGGGACAGGATCTTCATATGCTTACGAATAAAAGCAGTGATGTTTTGGACAAGGTGATGCCAATAAATCAAATAAGGTAAAACATATATTTGTTTATAAGCGTTGAGTAAATACTTAGACAATAATGAGTTCTTTATATTTTTGACATTGCTGAAAAGGGATTTGGTTGTAAGTTGTTGAAAAATATCTTGCAGAACATTCGCACTGGAAATTGCAAGCATATCTATCGTAACGCTTCCGCTGCTGTGGACGTATTTATATGTCTCCCCGGAACTTGCTCTACCTGCTCGTAGGGCAACAGGTTTAGGAGAAAAGAAATCTTTGAGTTCAGTTGTCCTACGAAGACGAAAGAGTCTGTCCTATTATTTATGTAAAACCGAATTCAGAGTTTTTCCTTCTCCGAGACTGGTTGTCCTGTCAATATTGAAGGGTCCCGTCTGCTCTATTACATAGAAGGGTTTTAAATTCAGCTTTTTTTCTTCTCCTAGACTGGCTACCACTCAAGACAAATTTTCAATATTATTTAGCCTATAGCTGATAGTAATCGAAGCATCACATTATATGTGATGCATTGACGACTCTAATGGGTTAGGGAGATCGTAATCATAAATTGCACATGAAATCATCACCTAATATCATTATTGCTGTCATTGTTATGTCATAAATGCATCGACATTTAAATTATCAGGCGTGGAAATACTCTCATGGCGATTTACTAATACGAAAATTATGAAGACCTTTCTTTAGATCGAACTCATTACTCAGTAGTAATTGAGACAAACTTGCTAACTAATTAAACTACGTCGATGTGACTGAAATACTCTTATGTATGGACGTGATGAACTGTCATATTTCCTATATTAGCGACATCAGATATTTAGTTTGAGAAAATTCGCATTTAAGGCTGACAGGTTCATCTCTTCGGGAGGGTGCTGGGTTCATTACTCGACGTCTGAGACGTCTCCAACACAAGCCCCACAGGGTCATTCTCTAAGCAAGTACCTCTCCTTCGGAAGGAGCTGGGTTCATTACTCGATGTCTGAGACGTCTCCAACACAAGCCCCAGAGGGTCATCCTCCACGTAAGTACCTCTCCTTCGGGAGGGGTATGGGTTCCTTACTCGACGTCTGTCTCCAACACAAGCCCCAGAGGGTCATCCTCCAGGCAAGTACCTCTCCTTCGGGAGGGGTATGGGTTCATTAGTCGACCTCTGTGACGTCTCCGACACAAGCCCCAGAGGGTCATCCTCCAGGTAAGTACCTCTCCTTCGGGAGCGGGCTCTGTTCATTACTCGACGTCTGAGATATCTCCAACACAAGCCCCACAGGGTCATTCTCCAAGCAAGTACCTCTCCTTCGGAAGGAGCTGGGTTCATTACTCGAAGTCTGAGACGTATCCAACTCAAGCCCCAGAGGGTCATCCTCCAGGCAAGTACCTCTTCTTAGGGGGGTGGCTTGGCGTAATCATCCGGTTACTGAGATGTCCCCAAAGAAGGAAATGCCGATGGGGCTTGAGCAATTTTTTCCACACTACTGCCGTTAAACCCACTTTAAACTGACCATGTGTCACATTCGGTAGCAACGTGGGCGCACTGAGATATCACTCTGAATTGTCACTGGTGTTAGTTGTCGGTGTTCGAGCTCAGATGAAAATCAAGATTCGAATACTGATTTTCAAGGCTGATTTTTTTTTGTAAGCAAGTTTAATTGCAACATAATATCTCACACTTTGCTTTATTAAATGCTATATTAATATTAATATGCGTTTTTTTATATTCATTATTTTGTTATTTACTTGCCAGGAGTTACGCTTTCATCGGTTTGGCCGCTTTCTGCTTGTTCATTGTTGGTCTCCTGTTTTGCGGACTGCTTTTGGGTGTCTGTGGTCATGATGATATGGTCAACCCGGTGAAAAGGGGTTGCGTATCCAACTGTGGTGGCTGCATGTTAATGACGTAAGTACATTATATTTACTTATGATTTGGAGTAGTTCGACACAAGAACTAACATTTATATTAGAAACCTGAATTGTCTGTTCGAGATTTTGCTGATGCAGCGTTGGGGTCCCTACTGAGGAATTGCCGATTAACCGCTAGAATCCAGAGATGACACGCAACAAATTGAATTGGATCACTGATTTTATTTACCTAGCCGTAAATAAAATCGAAGGGACGCATCTATCAGGCTATTGTTCGGACTATCCTTCTCTATGGCTGCGAAACGTGGCCACTTAGAGCGGTTAACCTACGAAGACTTGAAGTGTTCAACAACAATTGCCTTCGCTACATTCTACGATGCCGCTGAATCGATCGTGTGCCCATGGCCACTCTACGTCATTGCCTAAGTCTCCGTCCTCTTCCATCCGTCCTGCTCCAGCGTCGTCTCCAATGGTTCGGGCACGCAGCTCGACGTCCGGAGGAAGGGCTCATCCACGATGTACTTCTCCCTCCTTCTCTTCCTGGCTGGCTAAAACGTGTCGGTGGGCAGCTGAGGACGTGGGCTAGCACAATCAAGTATGACCTAGCAGTACTATCGGGTCCACAAGTAGTTAGACTTCGACGATGGAATCGCAATTGGCTCGCCATATCGTGTGACCTGGCTCAGGATCGGCGAGCGCGGGCAGCGATGGTCCGTGATGCTGTACTTGCTCGGGAGGAAGCCGGTTCAACCCGATTAGGTTGAAAACCGATACAAGTCAAAGTCAAGTTTTATTTACCCGACCTTCCACTAAAGTTGTTATTTTTTTTATGTGTGGTATCACACTGGCCTCGATATTACCCCGACCCGACCTCTGAATGGATGGAATCATTAGTCCCAGACATTTACCATCTTAAATGAGAACACTTTTGATCCCGGCCTGAAGGGCGAATTAGTGATTTTTTTTCAGTGTTCCCCACTAAGCCAGGATTTGGCTCAAATTTATACGCATACATATGGACAAAGACCAAAAATTGCCCAGTCTCCACGATCATTGCCACGCTGGTGTCGATATTACACTGTCATTATTATGGGTGAACTCAAGCACTAACAATAAAGTAAACTAAAAAAAAAAAACCCACAAATAATGTCAACTACCACTAACTCTTCAACAACTGTTAGGGTACAGGGGTGCTATTTTTTTCATAAAATAATTGTATTTTGTTGAAACAATAAAGATTTTAAAATTAAAAGACCAATGAAACCTTTGTCGTAGTCTCTGAATATGGAATCCAGTGAAGTCCGTAATGTGTTCAATATCAGAGGTTGGCAGTGAAGATTCGATATCAGGTTGGCAATGGAGATATTTTTGGAGAAAAAACAAAATGGCTGCCTTTATACACGACGGATTGAATATTTTGAGCTTTCTGATTGGTTAATCCTTCTATTGGTGAACTATAAAATGAGTCAGCTCATTTTGACTGGCTCACTAGTACATAGTACCCAAAAAACTGCAACAACCTTTACAATAGTTTCTGCTCCTAAATCAATTGTTTCACTATTGTAAGTGTGCACCTGCCTAGAAATTTTAATATAAGCTTTAGTCTAAGAACTGTTTCCATAAATATGGTTAGAGGTGGAAGCACATGAATCTATTTAAAAGAAACGGAAAAATTAGTTGAGTGACAATAGATATTTGAGATACAAATTAAAGTATATAATAGAGAGGGCCTTTTTTAGTGCAACGAGGAAGGTTCAACGGCAAGGTTGGAAATCCTGGGACCAGGCGTATTCTCCCGTCTAAAATGAGAACAGGTACTACGCTTTGATATCGGCCCGATAGCAAAATTGCACTTTATATTCACTGCTATATAGGCGTGTCCGTTATCACGTGACATCTTAGCCAGGCCCCCGAAAATGACAATTTACAATGCTCATTTCTCATATTGCCATAAATTAAGCAGATTGCTCTCCTACCGGTGAGAGGTGACGCTAAACTTCCGGAGAGCAATACTGTACGCCTTATTGGCTTCACGTTTTCCACTGAAATGAAGTATAGCGACTATATCGAATCGACTGCTTCGTCTACTGCAAGGAAAGTTGGTTTCCGGTGTCGTCAGATTTTATCTTGCATACTTATAAATCTACCATTCGTCCGTGTATTGAATACTGTTGCCATATCTGGTACCCCTGGTGTACATTTCGAGATTCTTGACAAAATTCAAAGTGACTGTAATATAATCGTTCCTGACTAGGCATCTTGTCTTCAGTCACTTTCTCACCGACGTGACGTGGCTTCCCTCTGACTGACGAGCCTTTTACCCTTGTGTCACTTCTACATGAATTTAAGCATGCTACTAGATTGGCAATTAGGTTTCACTGTTTTATTGTTGAACTAGCTAGATGCAACCGCCGCCCTACGCAGTTTCTTTTCTCGCACTTCTTACCTGTGGAACACTCCCTTCTGATTTCTTGCTTCCCTGAAAACTACGCTCTTCAAACATTTAAATGCACCGTTATATTTATAAATCTACCATTCGTCCGTGTATTGAATACTGTTGGCATATCTGGTACCCCCTCGGTGCACATTTTGATACAGGAATTAAGAAAAGAGATCTGATTATTTAGTCTCGTTGGATTTAGATTATCTATGAACGGTGGGATTTGATTTTGTTTTTTCTTTTCAGGGCAGTGGTTTTCATTTTTTTTACCGGCTGGTTATTAATGCTATTGACGACAGTAATGTTCATACCAGGCGCTGTAGTTGAGGTGTACGGATGCAGAACTTTAAGAGACATCGGCGAGGGAGCCGTCGACAATGTACGTACATATTTCTTTCATATATTGGTTGTGGGGGGGGGGCATTTTTTTGTAGCTTAACATTGATTAGCTCTTTCTCTATCCATAACATTGGTTAAAACCGAAAAAAATATTTATTTTTCATCATTTCGGAAGATCTTATTTATAATATAAATGCAGTGTGAAATCGATCTTTGACGTTTTAAGAAGTTACCTGTACTTTATTTTTATTTACAAATGTCAAGTTTAAAACTTCAGTAGTGCGCAGTTATCAACGACGTAAGTTTCAAACATGACATGTATAAATAAAATAAAGTAAAAACAACTCTTTGAAAAGTCAGTGATCGATTTGACACTATATTTATATTATGATCAGGTACCCCCTTCTAAAATGATCAAAATATTAATTTTTTTTTTGATTTTGACAAATATTGTGCTTTGGGGTATATCTAATGTATGCTGATCTAAAATGATTATTCTCAAATAGTTTTTCCATTTTTTTTTTGTTTACGAACGGACTAATCAATTTAAGTAGTGTATCACTTTACTTACTGCTAAGGAGGTCCTCTTAGCCTAGCATATGTGCTGATTCTTTCAGAAGTCTGACTCTCCAGTGCTTTTCTTTGTGCAGTATTTTCACTAATTCTACCCCTTTCCCACCATATATGATCAGCCATGCCGTATTTCATTGTCTCGCTCCTTCATTACGGCTTTTCGATGATTTTCCAGCTTTATTTTTAGGAGTGCGGCTTGTTTCGCGTTTATATTCACTGCCACCACTGTAAGAATTCTTGGTCAGGTTTACCACCGTGTTAGGCTTTAAATTCATACAGCCACGATTTTAACTTGTGCATATAATGTCTTCTGTATCAAAATGTATGAATTGTGCTCAGCTTGCAAATTGTAAAGAGGCAAGATGAAAAGACTTGTATGTTTAACTGTTAAAATGATCGAATTAACATGTCTATAAATGTTTTTCATCTTAAATTTTAGATACTGAAGGATGTTTTGAATGAGGACCTCGGCCAAATTATGTTTCAAAACAGCAGCTTTAACGTGACCATCAGTCACATATACAAGTAAGTGATATTCGTGGAATGCATTTTGATTAAACCGGCAATTGTCGGAATCCAGAGTTTGTCTCCGTCTCTGTTAGTAAATTAACTGAGCCATTTTCAAATATGTGGGTAATAGACGGTCTGTATAAAGTAGCGTATTCTTGGACTACAACACAGGGCCAGTACGTACTACCTCCCAACCCTCGATATCTTACCAACATGTGTTTTTTTTTCTATCGCCATTTATATACGTGACAAATTAAACTAAGCACAACTGGTTATTTACTTTATTTAGACTGTTATCCTCATCTCCATTGCATAACGTTTCGGCCGTTGTACGCTTCGGCATACTTCAAATTTAATTGGAAGTTCGAGCCCTTGATTTCGTCCATGGGGGCGGGGGTAGATTGTTCTAGTTCCACGTGCCATGGCTCTTCCGGATGTCTCAGAAATTTCGACTCTCCAAGCTGTCTGGTTTCCCAATGCTGTAGCCTGATATTGAACTCACAATTTCTTGGGTCTAGTCAGTAGATCTAACCACTGGGCCATCTCATGAAAGATTAACGGGAAACCACTTTGCTATCACTTCACTATCTTTCCCAAGAACATGAAGACCTTCAAAAATTTATTGCTAGTTCAGTTTTGCTTCCTGAGTAAACAACCCGCACGTAGGCATGTGTACCTTATTTATTGCTGGTTCTGTTTTGCTTCCCGATTACGCATGCCTCACGTAGGTACGCGTACCCCATTTATGGCTAGTTCAGTTTTGCTTCCTGAGTAAACAACCCGCAAGTAGTCACATGTACCTTATTTATTGCTGGTTCTGTTTTGCTTCCCGATTACGCATGCCTCACGTAGGTACGCGTACCCCATTTATAAGCTAGTTCAGTTTTGCTTCCTGAGTAAACAACCCGCACGTAGGCATGTGTACCTTATTTATTGCTGGTTCTGTTTTGCTTCCGATTACGCATGCCTCACGTAGGTACGCGTACCCCATTTATGGCTAGTTCAGTTTTGCTTCCTGAGTAAACAACCCGCAAGTAGTCACATGTACCTTATTTATTGCTGGTTCTGTTTTGCTTCCCGATTACGCATGCCTCACGTAGGTACGCGTACCCCATTTATGGCTAGTTCAGTTTTGCTTCCTGAGTAAACAACCCGCACGTAGGCATGTGTACCTTTATTTATTGCTGGTTCTGTTTTGCTTCCCGATTACGCATGCCTCACGTAGGTACGCGTACCCCATTTATGGCTAGTTCAGTTTTGCTTCCTGAGTAAACAACCCGCAAGTAGTCACATGTACCTTATTTATTGCTGGTTCTGTTTTGCTTCCCGATTACGCATGCCTCACGTGGTACGCGTACCCCATTTATGGCTAGTTCAGTTTTGCTTCCTGAGTAAACAACCCGCAAGTAGTCACATGTACCTTATTTATTGCTGGTTCTGTTTTGCTTCCCGATTACGCATGCCTCACGTAGGTACGCATGTACCCCATTTATGGCTAGTTCAGTTTTGCTTCCTGAGTAAACAACCCGCAAGTAGTCACATGTACCTTATTTATTGCTGGTTCTGTTTTGCTTCCCGATTACGCATGCCTCACGTAGGTACGCGTACCCCATTTATTGCTAGTTCAGTTTTGCTTCCCGATTACGCATGCCTCACGTAGGTACGCGTACCCCATTTATTGCTGGTTCTGTTTTGCTTCCCGATTACGCATGCCTCACGTAGGTACGCGTACCCCATTTATTGCTAGTTCAGTTTTGCTTGTCGAGGGCTCAATACCGATACTAGAGCAATAATTATTTATTATAATTTTTTCATATAGACAAGAACAATTTACTCACGCCAAAGATACAAATTCCTTTCGGTGCATTTAGTTGTACCACGGCTGGTGATAACCGTTTTGCTTCTCTTCAGTTGAGGTGCAACTAATTGCACTGAAACGAATTTGCATCTTTATCATTTGAAATTATAATATATATATATATATATAAAAGTGAACATTGAAGTCAACATTTAGAGGCGACAATCTGTTTCATGCTAGACGCAATCATAGAGGCGACTGGCAGTTTCATGCTAGACACAATCGTCAGGAGGCCTGACGATTGCATCTAACATGAAACAGCCTGTCGGCTCTCAGTTTTGATTTCAATGTTCACTTTTATATTTATACACGCTCTATCCCTGATATTGAGCACTTTAGCCCATAAATATAGCTCACCTTAAAACTATATTTTCTTCATTCATACATATATATATATATATATATATATATATATATATATATATATATATATATATGACGATCCGCTTAGGTGAAACCTTGGTAGATTTGTCTGGCTCTCTAGGTTTGACTAGGTCTGCTCTACTTTGTATTGAGCACTTTTTTTGAGTTAGTTGATTACTCGTATCGGTTCCTTTTTCTTTTGGGCTTTTGGACCTGTAGGCTGTACGATTATTTTCGACAGACGTTCATGTTCTTAGTACTTTCTTTTTTAAAACATTTTTTCCTTCGAAATTGATTTGATCAGTAGCAAATCAAGAAAACCGAAAGGTTTTCTGAGACTAGTGTAATTACCTATATATATATATATATATATATATATATATATATATATATATATATATATATATAGCCTAAGCCTACAGGCATGGATTTATTAAAACCTTAGTAAAATTATTCCAGATTATTCCTATCTATCTATCTATCTATCTGATTCTGTTCGTAATCTATCTATTCATTTTCCCTTCAGTATCTATCTATCTATCTATCTATCTATCTATCTATCTATCTATCTATCTATCTATCTATTTTTTCCCTTCAGTATCTATCTATCTATCTATCTATCTATCTATCTATCTATCTATCTGATTCTGTTCATAATCTATCTATCTATCTGATTCTGTTCGTAATCTATCTATTCATTTTCCCTTCAGTATCTATCTATCTATCTATCTATCTATCTATCTATCTATCTATCTATTTTTTCCCTTCAGTATCTATCTATCTATCTATCTATCTATCTGATTCTGTTCATAATCCATCTATCTATCTGATTCTGTTCGTAATCTATCTATTCATTTTCCCTTCAGTATCTATCCATCTATCTATCTATCTATCTATCTATCTATCTTCTTTTTCCTTCAGTATCCATCTATCTATCTATCTATCTATCCATCTATCCATCTATCCATCCATCTGATTCTGTTCATAATCTATCCATCCATCCATCTATCTATCTATCCATCTATCCATCTATCTATCTATCTGATTCTGTTCATAATCCATCTATCTATCTGATTCTGTTCGTAATCTATCTATTCATTTTCCCTTCAGTATCTATCTATCTATCTATCTATCTATCTATCCATCCATCTATCTATCTATCTATCTATCTATTTTTTTCCTTCAGTATCTATCTATCTATCCATCTATCTATCTATCTATCTATCTATCTATCTATTTTTTCCTTCAGTATCTATCCTATCTATCTATCTATCTATCTATCTATCTATCTATCTGATTCTGTTCGTAATCTATCTATTCATTTTCCCTTCAGTATCTATCTATCTATCTATCTATCTATCTATCTATCTATCTATCTATCTATTCTCTATCTAATTCTGTCTATCTATCTATCTATCTATCTATCTATCTATCTATCTATCTCTATCTATCTATCTATCTGATTCTGTTCGTAATCTATCTATTCATTTTCCTTCAGTATTTATCTATGTATCTATCTATCTATTTTTCCCTTCAGTATCTATCTATCTATCTATTTTTTCCCTTCAGTATCTATCTATCTATCTATCTATCTATCTATCTATCTATCTATCTATCAGCGTTGATTAATTTCATTTTTTTAAACCATTTCAGCGGTTGTGAAAATAACGAAGGCGTGTTCAAGGCAGCCTATTTGAATTATATTGTGAACTTCAACAGCATCTTCGACTACCCGAAGGTAACGTTAAGATTATCTTCACCAGTCTCATATATTATTTATTTTATAGCAAGTACTTTATATATATCTTCCCCTTTACTTATTCAGTATTTCCTGTTTCTGAGAATAGGATATTTTTTTCACACTCCAATATTATGACTTTTGTGCCTTTTAATTATTACTTTACTCGAGTCATGTTCTTCAATCGCCTCATCAGATCTAGACTCCCAGATTATTATCAGAGCAGGCATCAAGCTCATTCATAAAATGATCTGTCTGCAACCATTTTCTCAGGTCCATGATTAAAAAAGACTTCAAACGAATGTACTTTTCTTTAATTTCCCAAGTAATCTTCCTATTTCCACATATATCGTACACATCTTATATCATTTTAACATTTCTGCATGTAATTTTTGTATTTCTATTTCGGCATATACCCTTCACATTTTTATAATTCTTTTTAACATTTCTGCATGTAATTTTTGCATTTTCACAAGTAATCTTCCTATTGTCCCATATATCCTTCACATTTTTATATCATTTTAACATTTCCGCATTTAAATCTTGCATTTTCGCAAATAATCTTCCTATTTTCGCATATATCCTTCACAGTTTTATAAGATTTTAACATTTCTGCATGTAATTTTTGTATTTTCGCAAGTAATCTTCCTATTTTCACATATATCCTTCACATTTTTATATCATTTTAACATTTCTGCATGTAATGGTTTGTATTTTCACAAATAATCTTACTATTTTCGCATAAATCCTTCATATTTTTATATCATTTTAACTTTTCTGCATGTAATTTTTTTATTTTCACAAATAACCTTCCTATTTTCGAATTTATCCTTCACATTTTTATATCATTTTAATATTTCTGCATGCAATATTTCTATTTTTACAAGTAATCGTCCTATTTTCGCATATATCCTTCCCATTTTTATATCATTTTAACATTTCTACATGCATGATTTTAGTTTCAAATATAATCTTAATATTTTCACAGATATCCGTAATATTTTTTACGCTGGATCTTTATATTTCCACATGTAACTTTATTGTCACTTATAATATCACTATTTTCACATATGTCCTTCACATTTTTAAGCATAATCTACGCCTTTTCACGTAAACGTTTTCCTTATCGCTTATAAAACTCCTATTTTAAGATGTTTTTCATGTTATTTTTCAAATAATAACAATTTACATAGACATTTCTTTAATTCCACATACAATTTTCATATTTTCACTTATTTTCGGTGGATATTTGCTTGCTTATAAAGGGAGTTTTATTAAGACGACTTAAACTCGAGTATTTACGGTATGCAATACAAGAAGCAAGAAATATTCTGTGATATGAAGGGTAATCATGAGGCACTAGTAAATACAAAGCTTTATTTTCAGCCAAATTATAGACTTGTGGGGGCGAGAAATAGGAATATTACTTGTGAAAATACAAAAATTACATGCAGAAATGTTAAAATGACATAAAAATGTGAAAGATATATGCGAAAATAAGAAAAATTACTTGTGAAAATACAAACAATTACATGAAGAAATGTTAAAATGACATAATAATGTGAAAGATATATGCGAAAATAGGAAAAATTACTTGTGAAAATACAAACAATTACATGAAGAAATGTTAAAATGACATAAAAATGTGAAAGATATATGCGAAAATAAGAAAAATTACTTGTGAAAATACAAACAATTACATGAAGAAATGTTAAAATGACATAAAAATGTGAAAGATATATGCGAAAATAGAAAGATTACTTGTGGAAATACAAAAATGACATGCAGAAATGTTAAAATGATATAAAAATGTGAAAGATATATGCGAAAATAGGAAGATTACTTGTGAAAATGCAAAAATGACATGCAGAAATGTTAAAATGATATAAAATACTCGATTACTTTAAGAAAATGTATAATATTATCGAATCAAGCATAGAAAAGAGAATTAGTTTAGCCGTGTTCATAATTCGACTGAATTATTCCGCGTTAACGTTCACACTGTTGTCCGAGAAAATGTGTCTTCCCTAAATACACGAAGAGGAAGATATTATAGAACGGATATGGTAACTAGTCACATATCTTGGACCGATGATTGCTTGCTTCCATAAGATCTATTTTCATCCGAATGTACCGATCCTGGGACATCTTTTTTTTTATGGCCAAGTGGCAAGTAGCATAGAAAAGGGATTTAGTTTAGCCTAGCTTTAAACTCTGAATGAGAAGTCTGTTGCTTTAGAAAATTTGCTTTTCCTAAAGATTTGAAGATGGGGGAGTGAAACAGTTGACATACGTTTTGGGTTAAAAAAAAAGAAAAAAAAAAAAGAATTCATATCGTGTAAAGAATGAAAAATTGTACAATTGATTCTGCTCCCAGTGCCACTAATGGTCACATCATGAATAATATTTTTCTTTGTCTTTCTATTCATAGAATATGAATATAGAGAAGGAATTAAATAAAATTAAAGTGAATCTGAGCAGTGTCGAAATCAATACGCCAGGAGTCCAGACGCAACTTGACGACGCTAAGAAATCGCTGGCGATCAATTTTCAGAAATATGAAAACGAAGTGAGTACATGTTTATGGATTGATTTGTTTTTTTTTTTACGGTTTATCAACCCGAAACATATTACTGCATTGTAAGAATTGATTGAATTGTTTGTTTAACGGCTTATAGCCCATTAAATGCCAAATTTAATTTTCTTGGGAGTTTTGAAGTAATATATTGTTATGGTCCGGTTCCTTGTACCACGGTGATAGTCCAAGGTAGAACCAATAAAGAAGAACTGGAACACAGGTATGGAATAACACAGATATATTACAAACAGGAATATATACAGAGAAGTAGAAGTGTTAGTATGAACAATCAGGTTTAGTAGAGAAAACAATGTAGTCTCGACCAGTATCACTATTCCAATGTCTTGCAGTAATTATCTGAACGCGACTCTGTTTCGGACTGCCTCTGACTCGACTCTGACTCGACTGACTGACTCGACTTGAACTACTGACTCACGATATTGAGTCACCCCCCACGAGGGTGTCATGTGGCACAAGGCCTTTTTAACGTGGGCATTCCGAGCCCGTAGGCTCGGCCAAAAATATGCCCATTGAACCCGTATAAACGGGTTCAAGGCCGGTTTTACCTCCCCGAAGGAGACTCCGCCCTTCGGCGTAGTCTCCTTCGGGTTCCTCTCCGTCCGTAGACAGAGAGTTCAACTGAGCAGTCTGTTCAAAAGTGAACTACTGACTCACTCTTTGCCTACTCCTGAGGCGCAGTATTTATTAAGTATGGAATAGTCCATTATTATTATTATGGGTAAGATCTCATAACATAAATATATGATGTATGTTTGTTGTAGCATATCTACGGACGATAATAGGTTTGTCCCCATTCACATAAATACAGTAGTAAATACTGTATGTTGGTCTGCCGTTGGAGGTTCTTCTCCAGCTGTGCTGGTCAAATTCTCTGTCTCTGGATAGTGAGGATGCCCAGACGAGGCTATGTCGAAGGGCAGAGTCTCGTTTCGGAAACAGCTACCCGACCCCGTTTAATAAGGGGTCTGCCGGGAATTTTTGGCTGAGCCTACGGGTTTGGCAACCCAACATTAAATTCGGCCTTTCGCCGCATCTGATTGCGTAGGGAGGTTGCTAGATATCCTGCAGATGGATATTCGTCTTCCACTGTGCTGGTCAAAATCACTGCCAGTTGGCAGTGAGGATGCCCAGACGAGGCTATATCGAAGGGCAGAGTCTTGTCTCGGGAAATAGTCACCCGACATTGTGGAATTCATTTGACTCACTTCTAGCAGTTGACTACTACTTCTACGCGCCGCTGGCGAATCTTATATGTGTTGTTCTTGTCCTAAGTATTATCGTTCATTACCAACCTTCGTTTGATTATTCTATTCAGTAACCTTCCCTAGGTTACAACAATGTTATTCTGCTTTCACAATGGAATACATGGTAGTTGATACTCATCTTTAGTGCATATACAAATTTTTATAGACATAATTGCTGGAGACAGTGGTATGTATGATTTATGTAGTTTTGCTGAAGTTATATTGAAGAAAACAGCTTGATTCTTTTTTAGAAATTGTAGGATATTATACGGATGAAATTGATGAAAAAGGTCTTTCATGTTGGTTCTTTGGTTAGGTGATTTTGTTTGGTGGCATATCAACATCGCTATGGGTTATTTAATGTCGAAATTTGAATATTTTGTACACAATTTTATACTTTCAGAGTAAAAGTATGTTTTTTTTAGATATATATTTGGTAGATCATAAAATGTGTTGTTGGTAATTTTACTATAAAAATGTACTGTTGATTTTTGTTTTTTTTTTGCGGGGAGAGGTTATGGGTCACTAGGTGCTACCGCTCTGGGTCAGGGTGGGCCTGAAGACAGCAGCAATTAAGAGGTGATTCTACACATCCCAAGACCTCCTGATCAGAAGCCTTGTTGCCGGATATAGTTTATCGTCATACCCAGGATAGGATTGTAAGAATTTTTTTTTGAAATAATAATATTCTGATTCAAGTTTATATTATATTTAACCCATAGCTTGGCGGAGAAGAGGTGGATTCATTCCTTTTCCGAGGGTAATTGCACGCAAGTTAATATAACGAGCCCGACTGGAATTCGAACTCGACTCGCCGATGTCTCATTCAGAGTCTTTAATTATTTTACCGCCTGCACATCCAAGATTGCAGCACTCGGAGTACCCAAGCTCTCACCCATCTAGGAACTGATCTGGCTCGACCTTGCTTAACTTCGGTGATCGAACGACAACCGGTGTTTCAAGGCGATATAGTTGTAAGCCTGAAATCAATACAAAACTTAGATTTTTACAAAAAAAAAAAATAAATAATTACTAAAGGCTCTCACAAAAAGGGTTTACGACCATAAGGCTCGACGACTGCGATACTGCCACTGAATACAATGCATTCTTTAAAAGACGGCTAAGTGACTTTGCATGACATTAATAAAACGCTGGAATCACGGCGTGAATAAATCAAGACATATTCCAGGGATGTCCCCAATCGAGTTATGCTTGTGATGTGTGACTGTATGGAATTCAAAGAAGCTTCAAACTTGTAACATTGTCGCAGCATATATGATTAAGTATTTAGCCCGAAAAGGTGCTTAAAGAACACTGTCATTGTTCCCTCGTGAGACAAACCGAACTGTTTTTGTCGCTATGTTGATCTCTACGGCTTTCTTCAGGTCAATAGAACAAATATGGACAAACTTTGCCTCTTACATAAAATCAAATCAGCCGTCTTTTTATCAAGAGGTATTATTTTCAGTGATAAATAGCGCAGCGCATATGGTGTACATAGGCTACTTTTGTTGCTCCCAAAAGGGAAGACTTTCCGACTATTTGTCAGTGAAGGAAAGAGTGGGCGATGAATTGACAGAAAGAATCTTTCAAATTCTAGCAGCTTCATACCTACGGACTTGCTACGAAGTGAAAATGCTTAGAGAGAGAGAGAGAGAGAGAGAGAGAGAGAGAGAGAGAGAGAGAGAGCTTCTTTTATCATCTCGACTTCACGCTAATTGCCGTTGCGTTAATTTGAGGGCCAACGAAAAGGCACCCAAGGCCGCAACATTTTTCTTTTCTTTCTTTTCGTGATCACCGATTCCAATTCCTGAATCTTGACTGGTCTTATAGAATATATCGTATTTCAGAAACATCTATGGCTATTTATTAGCTATAGAAGTTATGAATAAATTTAAAGGAAAGTAGAAGAAAGATGGGCCTTTATATTCAGAGCCAGGAAGTTGAAATTTCTTGGGCATTTAAGGAGGGAGGAGGCGTTGGTGAAATTGACAGGGCATATCAAGAGCAAGAGGGACAAAGAGAGGCAAAGATTGTGTGAAAGGATTGCGGAACTGGGGACGAGAAGATTAGAAAGGATTAGAAGAAGATTAGAAGAAGACTAGAAAGGATTAGAAGATTAGAAAGGATTAGAAGAATATTAGAAGAGTAGGAAGGATGGTGGAACTGGGGACGAGAAGATTAGAAAGAATTAGAAGATTAGAATAAGATTAGAAATGATGGCAGAGCTGGGGACGAAAAGATTAGAAAGGATTATAAGAAGATTAGAAAGGATGGCGGAACTAAGGACGAGAAGATTAGAAAGGATTAGAAGAAGATTAAAAGAAGATTAGAAATGATGGCAGAACTGGGGAGAAGATTAGAAAGGATTAAAAGAAGATTAGAAAGGATTAGAAGAAGAGTAGAAAGGATGGCGGAACTGGGGACGAGAAGATTAGAAAGGATTAGAAGAAGATTAGAAAGGATTAGAAGATTAGAAAGGATTAGAAGAAGATTAGAAAGGATGGCGGAACTAAGGACGAGAAGATTAGAAAGGATTAGAAAAGATTAAAAGCAGATTAGAAATGATGGCAGAACTGGAGAGGTGAAGATTAGAAAGGATTAAAAGAAGATTAGAAAGGATTAGAAGAAGAGTAGAAAGGATGGCGGAACTGGGGACGAGAAGATTAGAAAGGATTAGAAGAAGATTAGAAAGGATTAGAAGATTAGAAAGGATTAGAAGAAGATTAGAAAGGATGGCGGAACTAAGGACGAGAAGATTTCTGGCTGATTAAAAGAATATTATAGGAAGATTAGAAAGGATTAGAAGATTAGAAAGGATTAGTAGAAGATTAGAAAGGATGGCGGAACTGGGGACTAGAAGATTAGCAGAGAGACAAACGTTGCTAAGAAAAACATTGGATAGAAGCGAAGACTTGTGGCTTCGTTCTAGCATAATCACCGAAAAATTTCGAACTGTTTCGTATACCCAATTTAACTCACAAGGCTTGAGTCAACCCGTATTATGGTTTTTGGAAGTACATAGAGACCTGAGGTATTATGGTGAGTGTTGTAAGAATGTTAAGTAAGGGTGTGTTTTGGTGTAAGGAATACTGTGGTATGTTTGGGTCAGTAATTTGGCTTGCTAAATTTAAGATAAGGTAGATTGAAGACCCGCCTCCCCCCCTATTGTCATTTCTGGTCTTGTGCCACATTTTTGTATTATATCAAAATAAATATTTTTTTCCTCTAAGGTCCCTAGACTTGATATATTAATTTCCTATATGATACCTAGAATTTAAGAGCGGTAGTAGATTGACAGCACGTTTTCATCATTTTGCCGTTGAAATGGCTAGATGTAACCGTAAGTTCTATGCTAACAGTTTCTTCTATCGCACTTCTCGCTTGTGGAACTCTTTTTCGAATTTTTGTTTTGTTCTGTCAAGTTTGATCTTCCAAAATTTAAATGCAATATCAATTATCATCATCTGTCTTCTTAATTCTTGTTCGCTTATTGTCCTCTCTCCTAACCCACTTCGCCGGCGTAGACATGTATATACTTTTTTCGATATATCGAAAGTGTCTTTCTTTTAGACACGGACGAATAGACACGTCAAAAAATGTTAAAAACAAAACAAAAAAACAAAAAACAAAAAAACAAAAAAACAAAAAACAGCTACAGACGTAATCATACGTCGGTATTGATTCATTTTACGCCCCCCGGAGCCTGAAACGAATCCAGTTGTCAACTCGTGTATCTTGTGGAGGTATTAGCATGATAAAAATAAGAAACTTAAACTGGACCGTGAGAATTTCACACATGAACGCTAGAAAGGTGATGCGCTTTTTTTTTCTCTCTCTTTCCAGTTTACCAAAATAAACAATGCTAACAAACTGGTGGCTCTAGCTAGTACTTTGGATAATATTGCTCAGAATATACCAAACCCGACTTTGTCTTCAAATTTCAAGACACACGCCAACGATGTTCGAAATATTGAAAACACTGAGCTGAAGAAGTTACAAAATATAAAATCTAATTTGGTAACTACACTGGATGCCATGAAAAAATCAGTAACTTCAATAAATGTAAGTATATTTTTTCAGTTTCCTCTCCCATCTGTCTCTCTCTCTCTATATATATATATATATTGCTTAACGGAAATTGGAAATTACGTTGTCTTACGATTGTAGATCTTGGTGAATATATATATATATATATGCTAGCAACATGGCCCGGCGTTGTCCGTGCTTGATTCAAAAATCGTACGACTCATACAGCAATCACTATCACATAAAATATTTTTGCCCTTCCTTGCCTTTAAAGGAGTGTCCTTTGCCGTGCTGATGTTGCTACATGCCTTACTTCTTGCCTAACTCACACTGCGATTTTTTTCTAAGCTCTATACTAAACATTAAATCTGTTACGAAAAAAGAGCTAAACAAAATGAACACAAAACGATCAGCTTTAAAATGGACTCGTAACTGGAAAAACCAAATGAAAAAAAAATGTTAACAACAAATACTTTTTCACACCTAACCCAGTTCTGCGGAATCAGAATCAACGTTAGCAAGCAAATGAGCCAATTGGAGTAAAGTACGATTTAAATTTTTCCCACTTGTGACGAATTTTATCGATTTTTTTGCATGCTAGTTAACATTCGTGTCAGTCAGCTGTTGGCTTTCATGCTGGCCAATAGAATCTTCCTGCCTATTCGTGACAGCCAGCTATAGGCTCTCATTCTGACCAATAGAAAATGGCTGCAAACTACATGAAAACTGCCGTAGAAGCATGAAAAATCGATTATTTCCACTATCGATGGGAGTTGGGAAATGCCAAGTCGGTTGTTGGCCTTCCCCTAACTTGGAGCATGTGCATGTAAAATTTTGGTGCAAATCCGTTGAAAATTGCGGCCGTGCCGTGCATTCGTTACACACACACACACACACACACACACACACACACACACACATACACACACATATCCTGCCTTATATATATATATATATATATATATATATATATATAAGTGAACATTGACGTCAACACTCAGTGGCGACATGCTGTTTCATGCGAGGCATTTATATATTTCTGAGAAAAAAAAACAACACACGTGGCCTGACAATTGTGCTTAGCATGAAACAGTCTGTCACCTCTTAGTGTTGACTTCAATATTAAAATATTTACATATGCTCTATCTCTGATATTTAGCACCTTATCCCATAAATATAGCGCACCTTAAAACTATATTTCTTCATCTATCTCTATGTGTGTGTGTTCGCGAACTACTCGAGAAACATAAGGCTTATTTCCACCAAATTTGGAACATAAATTGTACTCAATACTGGGTGTGTCTGGGCCAAAAAATTAGTCATTTTTCAAAAATAATCGATAAATATAATGTTTAAATGGGAATTTCCATTAGTTTGGTTGTTTTTAAACTTTCAGACTTGAAGTCTAAACCCTAAGGTTGATTTTAATGAAACTTACTGTCACGCTTATTATACGCTATATTGATTTTTATTTTTCTCTCGATACTGGGACCCCCAGGGTGCCCCAAAGGGACCCCACACAAAATTAAAATTGCTTCGATTTTGATGAAATTTGGCATGTTTGTTACGCTCTTACAATGAGAGAGAAATCGGTTGTCAGATTTTTAAAAATGCGTGATGGGGGAGGATGATCCTATAAACCCCTTGATGCCTCAATTGCTTTTCAAGTGTATTTTGTAGCAGTATTCCCCAATTTCAACGAAAATTTCAGTACATATTGAAATTATAGTCACTTGGAATTCACTGAAAATCAACACTGGGCCCCCCACGAGTTAGGGGATCAGAAGTCTACAGCCTTGGCCATAAAGTCGATTAAATAGAAAACTTAAAAAAAGATGTTCTTTATTATTTCAATTACTATTAGTCTTAAACCTGTCCTTTGGCTTGAAATTTGGGACCTCTAGGGTGAACCAAAGGGACCCACCAAATTTTCAAATTGCTTCGATTTCGACGGAATTTTACATGTATGTTACAATCTTAAAATGAATCAAAAATGATTATCAGGTTTTGAAAACTACATTGTTATTCAAAAGCTTAGCCAAACCCCTCCAACTACAGCCTGACAGTAATGCCAAGAAAGCGAAATTCTTCACTTGGACGTGCTACTACTACAGCCAAACGCATGAAAGCACGGAGAAGAAACGCTTTGCAACAAGATGACCCATGAACACCTTGCTGCCCCATTAGTCTTTCAATTGTAGTGGTTAGCAGCATTCCGATGAAAATTTGCACATAATTTGTGTTTAGATCAATCAACTCAAAATCAAAACTGACACTCCATGTGTCATAAATACATTATGAAAAAATATCAGTTTTTCCCATGGATTTCCCGTTTTGGTACTGAAATAGTTTAGTTTGCATTAACTTGACGGCAAAAAATTTATCCTTCCTTAAGAAAAAAAGAATAAGTGCAAACGAAAGTGTGCCCCGATGAGAGAAGTGCACGTAGGTATAAGATGCGTGTGCGAGATCGATCGAGATGTGTCGTGTGTACAAATAATTTTGCTTCACGTGTAGTGTTTATTAGTATTATGTGATGAAATAAATGCAAAAAATCTCATTCGCATCAAAGTTGTGATCCAGTAAAAAGGTAGGCTGCCTTCATGCATGTATATTTTGAATTTTTGGTACTTTAAATTTAAATTTGTGAAAATCATATTATTAAAAAAGTTCAAGCGTAAATGCCAACTTTTAATTAGCGTTTAAATAATGCTTACTAATTCATATATTTGGAAACTTGAGCCCTAAAACTTTGACAGTTTTATTCTAAAAAATGCACTTATAATAATGTAAAGAGCCTCTTTCGATTCATTTATAATTATGCTAAACTTAGCGTGTACATTTTAACGTTCATAGTGAGTAGGCTTCTACCTGAACGTTCATTTTTATCACTAGAACGTTTTTTGGTAGTCTATTTTTAGATAAATCCGACCGTTACAAGCTTGCTTATAATTGTTTACCACATTCCCATGGTCTCCCTTATAAACTTGCATTTAATTTATTGTGGCTATATTTCCATTAATGTGTATAATATTCTTGCTTTTTAATTGATTACTTCATTGTTATTCAAAAAGCTTAGCCAAACCCCTCCAACTAAAGTCTGACAGTAATGCCAAGAAAGCGAAATTCTTCACTTGGACGTGCTACTACTACAGCCAAACACATGAAAGCACGGAGAAGAGACGCTTTGCAACAAGAAACTCAAATTAGACTGACACAAAATGCTATTCGTACAGCTAATGCAAGGTCAGCAGAAACTAATGAGCAACGGTTATATAAACGCGGAAGGAACGCTGCCAGAACTGTTGCTACTCGAGCTGTCGAAACTGAGGAGCAATGAACAATTCTATATACAAGAAATGCTACTAGAACTGCTTCTGATCGAAATTCTGAGAGTGAGCAAGGCAGATACGAATTCTGCAACTACAGCTATTACCAGACGTGCGGAGAATGAGAATCAACGTTCACAAAGATTGTCTAGAAATGCTTGAACAATTGCAAAGAGCAGCGTACGAAATGACAGAGCAGGAATTCCTCTAGAACAGCTTCTGCACAGGCAATGGAGTCTGTTGAGAATCGCCAAGATCGTTTCGAAAATAATGTGCAAAGATTGGCTGCTCAACAGGGAAGTTCAAGACCCCGTTGTCAAATATGGTCAGTGGTAGCATTCTATTATGACCCCCATGCTAATTATTCGAACCACCCTGATGTTCAGCTTGGCAGTATGTCGATTGTCTGTTCAAACTGCAGAGCTAAAAGGTGGGTAGGGGAAATTAATAGCATGCACTGCTCAAACGGTACTTCCGCGTTAACTATCATATTCCAGCGAACCGGACGAACTTAAACTGATGCTTTTTGATCCACACCAGCCATTGAAAATGCTATTAACTCGTACCACTGTTAGATCTAATCATTTCCTACGCAATATTAGAAAGTATAATTGTGCTCTTTTGGGGCCAATATTTTAAAGAAGGTGGATTTATGACTACTTTTAAAGTACAAGGAGAAGTATCAGGTCATCCCATAAGTTCTGTCCGAATTTTGAATAAAGAAAACAAGTGACCAAATGTTACATTTAATTACAGATTCAATCAACAATGTATTTTCCTGATTATCTATGACTTCTTCCATCTATTAACAAACTTACTAATTCCATTACTGTAAAAATTCTTTTGGCTTTGATTCGAAGAACTCACACTCTTCCTGTGTTACAAAAAAAAAAAAAAAAGTAATTCTGTAAGCTACGAAACAAATGGTAGTCTGAAGGAGCAAGATCGGGAGAATAAGGTGGATGAGGAATTTTCTCCCAACCAAGTTCTTCAATCTTTTGTGGCGTGATTCTTGCTGTGTGGGGTCGCGCATTCTCCTGATAAAACATCACCCCTTTTCGATTCACTAGAGCAGGTCTTTTTTTCCTCAAAGTTTGGTTCAAACGCTCTAATTGCTGACAGTATATTTGAGCATTAATTGTTGCATTAGTTGGTAAGAATTCAAAGTGGATTATTCCTTGGCAATCCCACCAGATTGAAAGAAGAACCTTTTGCCCATGAAGTTCCCCTTCTCGGCTGTGGCTGGGGTCCTTCCCTTTACCAAGCCACTGTCTACGACGCTTAACATTTCGATAAAAGATCCATTTTCGTTGCCAGTCACAAGTCTATCCAAAAAGGTGAAAAAAAGTTGGCGAGAATGGAGAGAAGAGCAGATGTCAACTCGGAATTTGAGGTTGTTTTCAGACAATTCATGAGGCATCCATTTTCCAAGTTTACGAACTTTTCCAAGTTGTTGAAGATGACGATGAACAGTTGTATGGTTTGAACTGAGACCCACTGCCAATACTTCAACTGATAAAGCAGGATTTTCTTCAAGGGCTGCTTCAAGAAGCTTTTCATCAAACTCAACTAGATGTCCGGTTCGATCTTCATCTTCAAGGGTGAATTTTGCAAACCATCTTCTGCAAGTTCTTTCATTCACACATTCCTCTCCATAAACTGAGTGAATGTTTCTAGCCGCTTCGGCTGCTGAGTTTCCTTTCTTGAACTCATAAAGCATTATGTGCCTCAAATGATTCTTGGGTACTTCCATGTTAGCAGGGTTTTAATCAAACAAAATTTAATTTTATTGTTCTCTGAAATAAAATTTGATCAGTTTAAATGCATCTAAACATAAAAATAATGTTCAGCTCCATTAGACATTATAAAATACTCTTTAAATTTCGTTCATTTTAACAAAAAGTTAAAATTCGGTCAGAACTTATGGGATGACCTGATATATCATAGAATTGGCTCTATAGTAAACTAAGAGCCGCAATTTCTTCAGCTTTACTTTGTAACTATCAGGAACAGACAACCAGATGTCATCATCAACCAGAGACCAGGTGGTGAACATGGTGGATCTTATAATTGCTGCTATTATTCATGGTCACCAACGCAATAATACGAGAGATGTATAGTTCTTTCATCACGTGATAACAAACTGCAGCGCATCAATGAAACCCACCGAGAAGTCTTTGTTGAATTTCTTCTCCTTCCAATGCATGTTGTTCATTCGATGTAGTTTGAGCAAAAGCTGTCAACAAAGCATTTCTCCTCAACAATTTTCGAAGATCGATTGCGATTAATGTACTCTTCATTTGCTGCCAAATATTTTTTGTATCTTCTGTGCTTCTGTAAAAAAAAACTTTCTCCTGTTATAAATGTTTTCACACTTCATGTCATTATAATTTTTTCGCCATATGGCTAAGAAGCACTAAAGAAAAATCTTCTTTCTTTTAACTTTACAGATTGGATGAGGTTCGTGATCTTTTTTGAATAAACCCAGGCAACGCCGGGTAATGCTGCTAGTATATATATATATATATATATATATATATATATATATAATTATTTTTATAAAAAAAAATTATAACATAAGTATGTTATAAAATCACTGCAAAAATAGCCATTTTGAAAATAAATTTTATTTTCAACATCATCACTTGATAAGACACAGGTGTGTGTTGAAACAAAATGGCTATTTTGTAGTGATTTCTCTAACATACTTATGTTATAATTTTTTATAAAAATAATTATATCTGCTCTACTTTGTATTGAGCACTCTTTTAAGAATAGTAATTGTTGGTTATTGGAATTCATCCCGTATATACCAATTATATACTTGGGTATATATATATATATATATATATATTATAATAAAGATTATTATTGATAATCGTTAATTCACCAGTAGTTTACCATCACCTGAGGAAACACATTTGTTGTGCTGAAACATAATTGTAATTGTGTAGCGATTTTTAACATGTTTGTTTTTAATATCCTAAAATAAACAGTATTTAGCTCTACTCTGTATTGAGCCCCCATTTAAATGAAATGTTACGGGCATTAGTGAAATCATCCCATTTGTTCTCATTATATATATATATATATATATATATAAAATTTAACTGGCCTCTCGTATTCGAGGATACTCGTCTACTAGGGCGTCTAGCCTATCCCTATTGCAGACGCTCGCTCAGGCACATTTGTGCTTACTCAACAACTACAGAGCCCACTAATTACGCTGAGTAGACCTTAGTTAAAGTTTCTGAGAGAGAGCGTGTTATCTAGCGTGATCAACAATTTAAACAAGGCCAGCACGCTCAAGCCCTCGGCCACGATGACTTGTGGCTTCGTGCTATCGACGGAACTAAGCGTTCAATTTCACTCAATTTCAATCGCAAGGCTTGGGTCTACTCGTAGTACGGTTTTACAGGCACTTTCCAAAGGTGCCGCACGTAGGGATCGAACTCTTGAGCCAGTCCGATAACACAATTTTAACTACCTTCTCTCCTCGGCAATGTTTATTCCTATAAAAATTGATGCTTAGAATTGTAATAAAACCTAAAGATATGTAAGTGAATTTATACATTTTCTTTGTTCTTGAGAATTGGCAACAAAAATAATAGACACTATTTATTTAGTAGGTTCTTTGTTGGAATGTTTGGCAAAATATCGGTAATTTTCAATCGATTCGAACTTTATAAAATGGTAAATAATAACTATTCCCTTATAGTTGGTTCACATATTTTAATCATTTAGTAAATATCTATGAGTTAATAAATAAACGTTCTTTTGATATTTATTTCTTTATAAATTGGTAAATGATAAATATTTCATTACATTAGCTATTAGTTTTTAGAATGTTGTAAATATAAAATCATTCTTGTAAATAAACAATTTAATAAATAAATATTTTTGAAGTAAATTCTTAAGAGCAAAAAAATATATATGTATATAAATTTATGTTTACATTCTATCACAGTTTTAATAATCGTAATGGGTGACCTATAGAAAAAATGGATATCCTTCCAGCTTTCATTATTATATGAATGATATAATAACAGCTAACACTGACAGAACGATATGGCTGAAAGTCAAAGGAACGACAAACATCTTTGTTATCAGAGAGTTTTATGTAGCTAAGTCATACACAAAATTATATACACATATTTACACAAGTCCTTTACAGAGAAACTATAACATGTGTTCAAAAAACAAACACAGTGAAAAATGGAAAGAAAAAGAGTCTTGCGTATAATAATTCTTAATGGGAACTGGGGCTGTCGGAGACTCTTCTGTGTTTCTGGAGAATCCATATTTAGGATTCCTGATTCGAGTAGGTCGAGGGAGGAAAATTTACCCTAAAAAAGCAACTGCTCTGTTTGATTCCTGGAAAATAAGTGAATGACTGACAGCTGCCGTCAACCTCTATGCAGTTACCCACGTGAATCATCTCGATCAAAGGGAGATAATCGCCTTATGCATCCTTACAGTTACCTGAATCGGTTCAAGAAATATTATAAAAAGAAATTGTATAAAAACCTAAATCAAAGCATTTTGTCTGTCGTAATCTATGAAATGTGCATGATATATATATATATATATATATATATATATATATATGAAGAAAAATTTTGAAAAAACAAACAAAAATCCTTAAATGTAGTTAAATGAAAGAAATGTCGACGTCTGACGTTTCGGTTTAATAAACCTTTTTCAAGACAATATTCATCAAAATACAATTCAGTTCAATATGACAAATACGATGGACATAAAGACACAAGTCTTATTCAAAACAGATAACTGAAAATTTTTATTGAATGTCCGAGAAATTTTCATAGAAAATATTCGTCCTTTGACAGGATTCGAACCTGCATCCTATACGGAACCGTCATTTACGCTGACGTGCCTTAACCGACTCGGCCACAAAGGAACGTCTGGTAGGCAAGGTCGAATTTACTGCTTATAAACTTCAATCTTCAATGAATCTCGTACATTCATAACTGCTCATGGCGTATCAAATGTAAACAAATGACGTCATACATTAAGAAATGGACAAAGTCCGACAATTTATTAAAGACATTTTTATGTTTAACATTCTTTTTATAGACACAAGTATTTAAGTATTTTATAGATACAAGTATTTAAGTAAATGCTCAGAGCATTTACTTAAATACTTGTATCTATAAAAAGAATATTAAACATAAAATGTCTTTAATAATATATATATATATATATATATATATATATATATATATATATATATAATAACGATTATTATTAATAATTGTCCACTCGCCAGTAGTTTACCATCGCCTGATGAAACACATTCATAGTGTTGAAACCAGTTTCATTATTATAGGAATGATATAATGACAGCTAACACTAACAGAACGATATTGCTGAAAGCAAAAGAAATAACAAACATCTTACTGGAGAGTCATACACACAATTTTATACACATATTTACAAAGGAACTATATGTTTATAAATTAATTAATATTATCTTTAGGTTTAATTACAATTCTAAGCATCGTAATAGGTTACCTATGTTGCAGTTTTTTTTTGTGTATATGTATGTACTAGTGAGCTAGCCCAAATGACATGACTCACCTTATAGTCCACCAATAGAAGGTTAACCAATCAGAAGACTTAGAATATTCAATCCATCGTGTATAAAGGCGGCCATTTTGTTTACACTATCCGAATGTCCAGTGCCATTTTGTTTACTCTATCCGAATGTCCAGTGAATAACAATAGAGGAAATTTTATCAGAACAATTGCCATGAAAGCATTTATAGAAAAGGCACGTTACGGCGATAGAAAAATGACGGAAACATAGATGCCAGGCTAGGACCATTGACATTGCAGATTATTCTTTGGATTTTATCGATAATCTGTAAATATATAACGCCAGAGCAAGTGTGCTGTAATATTCAAAACAAGGTCGAATGGTAGACTTATAAATGTGTAAGGTAGGTTATGTCGAGAAAAACTCTCCGGATTTTTCTGTTTTCATCTTTTTTTTTTCTTGTTAAATTAATATTTGTTCAGTGATTTAAAATAAGCAGAATTATTACATTAAATTTATCTTTATTTTTTTTATTGTTTATATCAGACTACTATCGACTCGTTAAAAAAAAAGTTGCAATTCGCTCAAGATGTTATTTCTAAGAAAGGAACTACAATTGTCAAAGCCGTTCTAAGCAGCTTCGTGCAACGAATCTTCAGAATTTGGAACAGTTTTGTTGCTCACGTCAAAAAGTTGGTAAGTTTTTTTGTTTTTTTTTGCTGTTGTTGTTTGTTTTTTTTTTATTGGCATCTCCCTATGCTAGTCAGTAAAGCCAGTAAAACACAAGGGGTTTCAAAAAGAACTAGGAACAGAAACATTGATAATAAGCGAAAAAAGAAAAGAGTAATTAAGAGGTCAGTCGATAGCGATTTGACATTGCGTTTAGATTTTTGTTGATTAAAGTTGGCTGGAAAATCTGGCGCCAGGAGAAATAAGAAGTGCGGGAAAAGAAACTAGGAGTATAGAATTTACGACTACATCTATCCAGCTCACACGTAAATTGATGAGATCTCGACGCCAGTCTAATGCTGCTCTTGAATTCAGCAAATCTCGACGCCATTCTAATCCTGCTCTTAAATTCAGCAAATCTTGACGCCAGTCTAATGCTGCTCTTAAATTCAGCAAATCTCGACGCCATTCTAATGCTGCTCTTAAATTCAGCAAATCTCGGTGCCATATCGAGGTGCTCACCCGATTTTGCTTCCCTGTCTTGCACCTCGTCATCCCTTTATAATTCTGACCGATTTTGTCGTTTACCGTTAATCTACAGGTTTTTACCTGATAAGCATTTAATTGCGTGTCCAATATAATTATTCATGGATTTCGATTAACCAGGAATCTAGCTCTGTAGAGGAGCGTGTGAATTCATAAATAAAATTGGTTCTCTTGTGAAGAAAACTCGAGTTACGTAGAACATAGTTAAAAGAGGGTCCATGTAAACATACACTGCTACCTAACAAGCTCTGTCCGCAACATACTTGTGGAAAATATGAACATAATAGTCTCATCCACAGTTAAAAAAAAAAGTAAAAATCATGGCTAAATGTATAGCCGAAAGCGTTCGGATTAAAATAACATTTGGACAGTTTTTATATAATTTATCATTTGAAAAAAAAAAAATATTTGTGAGAAATTGTATAAAAACCTAAATCAAAGCATCTTGTCTGTCGTAATCTATGAAATGTGTATGAAATATATATATATATATATATATATATATATATATATATATATATATATATATATATATATATGTGTGTGTATATAAATATAAATAAATATAAGTATGTATAATTATTTATATATTATATGCGCATACTTATTAAGCGCTCAATATCAGAGATAGAGCTAACATATTTGGTTGGATAGATGTGAGTTTGTGACGATCGCTAAAGCGTGAAACCCAGGGTCACAAACTCACATCTATCAAACAAATATATATATATATATATATATATATATATATATATATATATATATATATATATATATAATTTAATAAAGCATGCATCAATATATATATATATATTTATATCAGTATATATATATATATATATATATATATATATATATATATATATATATTTATTGATGCATGTTTTATTAAATAATATAATAATATAGACAAGTTTTGTCTATTTATTTTAAGTTCCTTTCATATTGTCTGATAAGCTTGAAAGACGAAAGGAAATCACCATATTGAAAGGAACTTATTTAAAATAAATAGACAAAACTTGTCTATATTATTTAATGAAACATGCATCAATGAAAGATTGCTGCCTAAATATACACAATATATATATATATATATATATATATATATATATATATATATTACTATCAAACATTAAAATCTATTTTTTACATAAATTGCTTAAACTTACCAACCATCTCCTAAATACGTAAAACCCATTTACAGCCTCTTTCTCTTTACTTCCCCCTTCTTTCTTTTTCCTTTTTCCTTTCTCTCTTCTCCCCTCCTATTTCAATATATCATTTCCGTTAAGTTAACCGTTTAAATAGGTCAAGGTCTGGTAACTCCTCCTCCCCCAATACTAAGTATGATTGAGAGAGAGAGAGAGAGATATTAAATTAAACCCTTCCTAAACTCTACCATGTCTCCCTAACTACTCCTATTACACTCTCTGTTAAATTACAAACACTTACACTACCCATCAATTTTCTTTTCATTTTTCGTTTCATTTTTGGAAGTGCTATCTGATGATCCGGAGTCCTATAAAAGGGCTCTGGTGAAATAAATTATTATAATGGAACCTTAAAGTGGTCTGTTTTTTTTATATATATATATATATATATATATATATATATATATATATATATATATATATATATATCTTACTTATTATAAAACGCAGATTGTGTGTGTGTGTGTGTGTGTGTGTGTGTGTGTGGTTTATATATTGGATAGGATTTCCTACATTTTTCAACTGATTTCAACAAAACTTCACATGGCTGCGTAAAATTACCTTGCAGTAGTTCTGACAGCGTCAAAAACTGGAAAAACACAATTGCTTTTGCACGAAATCAATTTGAAAACACGATTCTGTCGCCAGAATGAAAATGGGACAACTCATATTGAGTTATACTTATTATAAAACCCATGTTGTTTGTGTGTTCGTTTATATATGGGATCGGATTTCCTACATTTTTCAACCGATTTCAACAAAACTTCACTTTTTTTTGGCAGGTAGTGTTTCTTATTGTCTTGCACACTTTTTTCTTTATTTTTACATTCAGAATGCTTTAAAAATTCCATTTACAAGACAATTGTATATAATAAAATTCTATTCAATCGGTAGACTCATAACGATTGAAAACAATGTTTTTGTTTGAGTTTGGCTTTGTAAAAAATCAACCCCCCCCAAAAAAAAACAAACAAAAAGAAAAAAATAATTAAGACATGCTTTCCGTCAACCTTAAACAATAATCTTTGTCAATTTTATTTTCAGTCTTTATGATGGTCGATACTTGATCTCTCTCTTTGTGTTACATCCCCGGGCAACGCCGGGTCCTACTACTAGTATCTGTTTTCATTAAATATTAGCTCTGTATTCACATTGAGCTCTCAGGATTTCATCCTCCTTCGAATTACCCATTCAGTTTACCAAGTTCTTCGTAACTTATATATATATATATATATATATATATATATATATATATATATATATATATATAAGAAATGGACAATGTCCGACAATTTTATTTATTAAAGACATTTTTATGTTTAACGTTCTTTTTATGGATACAAGTATTTAAGTAAATGCTCTGTTTATAATAATCCTGTCAAAGGACGAATATTTTCTATGAAAATTTCTCGGACATTCAGGCCGGTAAATGTTATTTAATACTGTTTATTATAAACAGACCATTTACTTAAATACTTGTATCTATAAAAAGAACGTTAAACATAAAAATGTCTTTAATAAATATATATATATATTAAGAAATGGACAAGGTCCGACAATTTATTTATTAAAGACATTTTTTTTTTTTTATGTTTAAAATAACAACGTTAAAAAAAAAATGTCTTTAATAAATAAATTGTCGGACCTTGTCCATTTCTTAATATATGATGTCATTTGTTTACATTCGATACGCCAGAGCAGTTAGGAATGTACGAAATTGAAAATTGGAGTTTATAAGCAGTAAATTTGACCTTGTCTACCGACCGCTTCTTTGTAGCCTAAGCGGTAAGGCACGTCAGCGTATATGACGGTTCCGTATAGGATGCAGGTTCGAATCCTGTCTATGAACGAATATTTTCTATGAAAATTTCTCGGACATTCAGGCCGGTAAATGTTATTTAATACTGTTTATCTTAAACAGAGCATTTGCTTAAATACTTGTATCTATAAAATAACAACGTTAAACATAAAAAAATGTCTTTAATAAATAAATAAATATATATATATATATAAAAGAAAAACAGACACTTTAAGGTTCCATTATAATAATAATAATAATATTAATATATATATATATATATATATATATATATTAAAAAAAAAACAGACACTTTAAGGTTCCATTATAATAATAATAATATTTTATATATATATATATATATTAAAGAAAAACAGACACTTTAAGGTTCCATTATAATAATAATAATAATAATAATATATATATATATATATATATATATATATATATATATATATAAAAGAAAAACTGACACTTTAAGGTTCCATTATAATAATAATAATAATATTTATATATATATATATATATATATATATTAAAGAAAAACAGACACTTTAAGGTTCCATTATAATAATAATAATAATAATAATATATATATATATATATTAAAGAAAAAACAGACACTTTAAGGTTCCATTATAATAATAATAATAATAATAATTATATATATATATATATATATATATTAAAGAAAAACAGACACTTTAAGGTTCCATTATAATAATAATAATAATAATAACAATAATATATATATATATATATATATATATATATGCAGGATGTTATGAAAAAATTGATATAATAATTCTTCAAGACTCACAACTCCTCTTCTATTTTTGCTCAGTACTTTTGTAAAACTAGCTTTATTTCTGTTTCATTTTTCGCAGATCAATTATAAAATCGGCCAATGTCGTCCCTTAACGGACATCTATAACTATGTTGCTATCGAAATGGTGTGCGGCATAGTTGATTCCTTCAATGCCTACTGGTTTGGATTGGGGTGGTGCCTTTTCTTCTTGCTGTTCAACCTCATCGTCGCAGTCAAACTGGCCAAGTACTACCGTCGAATGAACTATTCGGACGAACTGGATGCATCTGACGAGATCTTGCCGACCACTGCAACAGTAAACCGCCACAAAGCCAGCCTACTCCCGAACAATAAAGTCGGGCAGATGCCGCGTTTTTAATTCACTAGGAAAAACAAAACAAAACAAAACAAAACAAGACAAACGAACGGAAAAGGAAACGCAGACGATAAAAACAAAAAGAACTGAATAAGAGACAATTTCAATTAAAAGTGATTCGGATGAATAAGTCATTATATATATATATATATATATATATATATATATATATATATATGTATATGTGTGTGTGTGTGTGTTTGTGTGTGTGTGTGTGTGTATTATACTATTTTTTTAATTTAAAAATCACCCACCAATTAATTTTACTTTGTGATGTCTTTATTGAAATTTTTCTATGATTCGAGATTATACTTTTCATCTTGTCTTTTGCGAATTGTGGAATAACAAGGGTAGATATATTGTAATCCCATATGTATAATCACAGTTGCTTTCTTAATATTTCTTTATATATATATATATATATATATATATATATATATATATATATATATATATAGTAGTAATAATAATCTTATAAGTATAAAAATTATACTCGTTCGGAAATTCTTCGATGTCTTGATTTGCAAATAATCAAACCAATACCAAAGGAGGAAAAAGGTATATATATATATATAAAAAGAAAGAACCAAAAACATGTACGTTAGCCCTCCAGCATCATCCAGCATGCAAGTCCAAGGCCCAAAGAAAAAAAAAACCGATACGAGTAAGCAAAATAAATAAAGTGCTCGATACAGTAAGATTATATATATATATATATACTAGCGGGTCTTAAATGCCATTAAGATTATCGCACAAAATTTCATAACTGAATCAATAAGCTGTCAGATCCTCATATGTCGAAACCGACGGGAGAGTATATATATATATATATATATATATATATATATATATATATATATATATATATATATATATATGTGTGTGTATATACAATTTCTTACCCATGACGTTTGTAGTAGTAGTAAATATAATAATAATAATAATAATAATAATAATAATAATAATAATACAACTGAAAAAAATACGTAAAAATGGCGAGAATATTACGTTTTTCATTTTTCTGGTTAGCAATTCTGCCCAAAAGCCGTCAATAGATAATTAGAACTAGAAGGTTTAAGAAATCAGGAAAAGTGTTACACATGAATCACTTTATTTATTGAATATATATATATATATATATATATATTAAGAAATGGACAAAGTACGACAATTTATTAAAGACATTTTTATGTTTAACGTTCTTTTTTTTTTATAGATACAAGTATTTAAATAAATGCTCTGTTTATAATAAACAGTATTAAATAACATTTACCGGCCTGAATGTCCGAGAAATTTTCATAGAAAATATTTGTCCTTTGGCAGGATTCGAACCTGCATCTTATCGAACGATCCTTTGTGGCCGAGCGGTCAAGGCACGTCAGCGTAAATGACGGTTCCGTATAGGATGCAGGCTCGAATCCTGTCAAAGGACGAATATTTTCTATGAAAATTTCTCGACATTCAGGCCGGTAAATGTTATTTAATACTGTTTATTATAAACAGACATTTAAAATACTTGTATCTATAAAAAGAACGTTAAACATAAAAATGTCTTTAATAAATTATATATATATAAATTATATTTTTTTCTACAGTTAGGGTCACCCTTTATAAGGCCCTGGGACCACCTCGAGGTAGAGGGTTATGTTAGGCGGACATTTGTATCCATATGTGTGGGAGATAACGATTAACCCAAGCCTTAAACAGAGTAAAATTTTAGTGATCGGGTAAACATCCTTTTGGGAGTCAATTTCACAGGGCAGAAGCTGTTCGAGTGGAACCTACTTCTCACCAGTGGAATAGGAAGGGAATGTGGGTGGTTTGCTATTATGTTCTAGCCATGAAGATTTGTATATATATATATATATATATATATATATATATATATATATATATATATATATATATATATATATGTGTATGTTTGTAGGATGTATAATAATATCCAAGGCTTTGTGGAAATGACGTGACAAAATGGAAATGTTTATAGTCGACGCGTGTTTCATCGAATGTGACGTATTGTGGGTTCGGCTTCATCAGGTAGGAATGAATGGCAGAAGTGTGTGCAAGGATAAAATACATTGGGAACCCAACACGTCATATTCGGCGAAACGCGTCGACAATAAGCTCTTCCACATTGTCACCACACGCACATATATATATATATATATATATTTATAATTATTTTTTTTTAAAAATATGATTCCATCACAACACAGAAATTTCCGTGTTTCAAAACTGAAGCTAAAGTTGTAAATTTAATCATCAACAGATTCAACTTAAAATCCAGAGGTTCGTTCCATTGTCAAGCGATGTTAGGGATAAGAAGAAATTTACTTAATTTATAAGCGGAGACAATCTCAATATTTTGAGTTGTTAAGGTTAAGGAAAATTCAATCTATTTTGATTAGGGGTGGTTGGGTTTTAATTTCCCTAGACAACTTATGCATCAACTATATGTTACTTACAAAGTCAGATGAAATATGGATCGGAGTACGACAGAATAATAAGATAAAGAACAAATAGGAAATGTTTATCAATCTAACATGTTTCACTTTTATTAAAGCTTCATTAAAGATTGGGATATAGAGAAAAAAAAGAAAAGAAATTGTAACATTTTCACTTTTATGTTGTTTGATTTCCATTGGTCAATCATGTATCACGTACACTCGACTCTTTTAAGCCAAGGTTAGTATAATTTGTGGCGTTCAGAATTCAAGGAGAGATGACATGTCTATCCGAAGTTCCAAGAAATTAACAGATTCCGAGCCTACTTGAAAAACCGTAAATATTCCGTAAATGTATAAAATATTGCGTAAATGTATAAAATATTGCGTAGATGTATAAAATATTTCGTAAATGTATAAAATATTGCGTAAATGTATAAAACATTGTGTAGATGTATAAAATATTGTATAAATGTATAAAATATTGTGTAGATGTATAAAATATTGTATAAATGTATAAAATATTGTGTAAATGTATAAAATATTGTATAAATATATAAAATGTTGCGTAGATGTATAAAATATTGTGTAAATGTATAAAATATTACGTAAATGTATAAAATTCTAAAAAAAAAGTGTATAATAGATTGCCAATGTTTATGTAATTCATTCTTTAAGAATCTAATGTACTTTTATCGAAAACAAACGGTATGTACGGAAAAAGTTCCCAAATAAACATGCGAAAAGCCATCAAACATAATGTCTACTAGGCATAAACACACACACACACACATATATATCTACATATACCTGCAGGCATATGTCTATACAATATGTCACTTGTCTGTTTTACGTATCTTTTTTTATATGCGCCGTGTCCTTTCAGGATGTAGGGAATCATGGCTCTCCACCTCCTTCTATCCCTTGCAGCTCTCAACAAGTTCCCTCCCTCTACCACCTCCCCCAAGAATACGTTCTGTCATCCATCTACTTAAGCCCTCTAGGCATGTCATGCGTTGTTTTCCTCTGTCTCTCTTTCCCTCTATTCGACCCGTGAGTATCAGATTCTCCAGGCCTTCCTTTCTCATTGTATGTCCAAGAAACTTCAGCTGCCTCTTCCTGATGTTAAGTATAAGCGTCCTCATTGCTTGCATTCTCTCTAAGACCTCATCTTTGCTCACATGCTCGGTCCATGATATCCTCAGCATCCTTCTGTAGAACAACATCCAATATATTAATAAAGAAAATACAGAAATCTCCAACCAAACCTCAGTTATCTTCTCAAGTTCTTCCTTTTCTTTCTATGTGCCGTGTCCTTTCAGGACGTAGACGATCATGGCTCTCCACCTCTTTCTATTCCTTGCTGCTCTCAGCCAATTCCTTCCCTCTGCTTCCTCCCCCAGACCACGTTCTGTCATCCACTTGCTTAAGCCCGCCAGGTATGTCATCCGTTGTTTTTCCATCTGTCTCTCCTTCCCTCTATTCGACTCGTGATTATCAGATTCTCCAGGCTCTCCTTCCTCATTATGTGTCCCAGAAACTTCATCTGCCTCTTCCCGATGTTAAGTATAAGCCTCCTCCTTGTTTGCAACCTCTCTAAGACCTCATCGTTGCTCACGCGCACAGTCCATGACATCCTTAGCATCCTTCTGTAGAACCACATCTCCGTCGCCTAGTCGGCGATCGAGATGAGATGAAAATAAATTTGATGGATTTTGCATACCGATTTCCAAGGCAGATCCATTTACAAGATAGGTGCTGCACAGTCTTCTTATCCCACAGCAGCCATGTACTTTGTGAATACACGATAAATTCACGCTATAAATAAAAGAGACTTTATTCTTTTCTTTTAAAAACCTTTGTGTGTAGGTCTTTATTTTTTTTTTTAATACTTTTTATTTTTTTCTATTGGTGGTGATTTCAGTTAAAAAAATTGTTGCATTTTAGTGTGATTGGAAATAATAATAATAATAATAATAATAATAATAATAATGCTGTTTTTAACTAGATTTTTCTTTTTCTTCTATCAATCTTTCTTTCTTCTCTTTTTCTTTCTATGCAAATCTATTCTTTCTCTATTTCTTTGATTATCTATCTATCTATCTATCTATCTATCTATCTATCTATCTATCTATCTATCTATTACTTTCTTTTCAGTATCTATCTATCTATCTATCTATCTATCTATCTATCTATCTATCTATCTATTACTTTCTTTTCAGTATCTATCTATCTATCTATCTATCTATCTATCTATCTATCTATGTCACTCTGTCCGGTATCAATCACATTCGGTAATCTATCTATCTATCTATCTATCTATCTATCTATCTATCTATCTATCTATTACTTTCTTTTCAGTATCTATCTATCTATCCATCTATCTATCTATCTATCTATCTATCTATCTATCTATCTAATTCTGCTTCTATCTCTATCTATCTATCTATCTATCTATCTATCTATCTATCTATCTATCTATCTATCTATGTCATTCTGTTCCGGTATCAATCACATTCCGTAATCTATCTATCTATCTATCTATCTATCTATCTATCTATCTATCTATCTATCTATCTATCTATCTATCTATCTATCTATCTATCTATCTATTATCTTTCTTTTATCTATCTATCTATCTATCTATCTATCTATCTATCTATCTATCTATCTATCTATGTCACTCTGTCCGGTATCAATCACGTTCAGTAATCTATCTATCTATCTATCTATCTATCTATCTATCTATCTATCTATCTATCTATCTATCTATCTATCTTTCTTTCAGCATTTCTTTTCTATCTATCTATCTATCTATCTATCTATCTATCTATCTATCTATCTATCTATCTATTACTTTCTTTTCAGTGTCTATCTATCCATCTATCTATCTATCTATCTATCTATCTATCTATCTATCTATCTAATTCTGCTTCTATTTATCTATCTATCTATCTATCTATCTATCTATCTATCTATCTATCTATCTATCTATCTATCTATGTCATTCTGTTCGGTATCAATCACATTCCGTAATCTATCTATCTATCTATCTATCTATCTATCTATCTATCTATCTATCTATCTATCTATCTATCTATCTATCTATTACTTTCTTTTCAGTATCTATCTATCTATCTATCTATCTATCTATCTATCTATCTATCTGTTCCTTAGATTTTTATGTGTATCTACCAGTGGAGAATTGAGTCTAAAATATTAGCTGCCAGGGGATGAAAAGGTCTCTCCCACAACTACAATGCTATAATTTAATTTTAATTACGAATAAATTATATTTTCCAAAAATCCTTATAGAAAAAAGGTACAATTAATTTGTTATGGAAAAATGTGAATTTCTTAGTAATTACAGTGTACACATTTTGTACATATTACTAATAATAAATGTAAAATGTAAATACAATATATTAATTAAAATTTAATTTTCATTTTTTTTTTAAATCTAACTAATTGTCTGATATTTTTAAATATTTTACTGTACAATTGACACATTAATAGATAGTTCAATAGATCGTTGCATACCGTCCTCTATATTAAGAGCAATCGTTTGTGTTCGAATCTGATAACAATTCTTTCTGCATTCAATTAATCTAACATTTCCTTTTCAATGGCTAGCAACATTTACGATTCTAAATTCTCCTAAGCAAATTTCTTAACGTTTTCTTTATGATCTTTTGGCTAGAAAATGTCCTCCCACACTTTATAAAGTTCTTATTCCTTTTTATTTCTAAAATAGTTGTCTGTGATTGTTTCTTTATTGCATTTTAATTTGATATAGGGGAGGGGCACTTGTTATCGGGCCATCTAACACATTGGCCAGTTCGCCATTGATCTCTACCGATTTCGAGTTTGGGTCCAAACTGCTTGTGTTCACATAGCGCTCTTATCCTTGGTCAAGGCCCCATTCTTTTTCTATGTCGGTCATTTCTTTCTTTCTTTCTTTCTTTCTTTCTTTCTTTCTTTCTTTCTTTCTTTCTTTCTTTCTTTCTTTCTTTCTTTCATAACCTTGGTAAAGTCTCCTCTCTGCTTCTACGTGAGTCAGTTTCTTTCTTTCTTTCTTTCTTTCTTTCTTTCTTTCTTTCTTTCTTTCTTTCTTTCTTTACACAACTCTAATAACCTTAGTAAAATATCTCTGTTTCTACGCGTGTCACTTTCTTTCTTTCTTTCTTTCTTTCTTTCTTTCTTTCTTTCTTTCTTTCTTTCTTTCTTTCTTTCTTAGTTCGTAATACTTCTCATATTATCTACTTTTTTCTTTCTTTCTCCATCTTTCTGTTTGTCCTTTTTAATATTCAGACATTTTTACATTCCTTTTTTATATTTTATGAACTTGTAAGCACTTGTGTTTGATTTTTGCTCAAAATCCACCACTGCACATTATATATATATATATATATATATATATATATATATATACACATACATACAAATTTTTACTCAATATGAAAGTGAAAAAAAAAATTAGTACAGATTTTTGATTCCGTCCAAACAATATTAATCCAAAAATAAAAATTCAAACAATTATTTCCTCGTTCCTTTCTTATTTTATTTGATATTGTATCTGTGTAAATATAAATAAATTAATTACATACAATTTATTTTATCCTATATTGTATCGTATAGATATGCAATGGAAGAAGTAATACTTACATCCTAGTGCAAATTAACTGAAACAACAGCTTCAGTTTTTTCTTTCATCACACGGTCTGTTTTAGACCCACTGGAGTGACAGGGTGTAATCAATTTCTGTTTTTTCCTCAGATTAGGTTATTTGTCGTGGTGTGCAGTAATATGAATCTTATTTTCAGGGTGTATGATGAAATTTGTTTGGCCTTGAAAAATACTGCGTCATTCGTTATTGTATAAGATTTTTATTACGCCCAAACACTATTGTCTCGACTGTCGATTAGTTGTCCTACGGCCATTGTCTGCAATGGACGTTACTCCAACGAAGCGTACGACAATTGTTACACTTCACGAACACACAGGCAAGCTTTACCAGTGAGCAAATCAAAGTACTAGGCTGGCCCAGAAACTCTCCTGATTTAAATCCAATCGAGAAACTGGTGGATCTGCAAGGAACGATTTCGTGGAATAGACATACGAAGTACTAACATTTTGAGTAGATGCTGTTTTTTACTTATTTATTAAACCGTATATTTATTTATTTATATCTACCGGCCTGAATATTCGAGAAATTTTGTTAAAAAAACAAAAAAAAAAAAAACAAAAAAATAAAAACATGCGCCCTCCGACAGGAATCGAACCTGCGTCCCCTAAAGGAAAACCGTCATCAGATTTGACGTTCCTTAGACCTCTAGGCCACGAAAGGTCTAGGCGCGGTCTAGGCACATCTAGCGGCCAGCTCAAATGTAAATTGATGAGATCTTGATGCCAGTCTAGTACAGCGCTTCAATTAAAAAAAAAAAAAACATGTCTAGGTACCATAGCGAAGAACTTACCTAAAGAATTACAATGAAAGTATTTATGGAAGAGAAGCAGCCGGACAGAGGTGGGAAAGTGACTGAAACTGAGCTGCCAGAACAGGACTAATAATATTGCTGGTTCTTATCAAGGCGCTCAAGCTAAATATCAGGGACACCGAACCATATGTGCCAGCAATATTCTAAACATGGACGAACAGTAGAAATAGATGTGTAAGATTTATCACGGAAAGAATATATATCTTTCGATATATATTTCTGACTGGGCAGATTTTTTCCCGCAGTAGGTTGCCGTTTCTTTCTGCGGCAGACCAGTTGCCATGCAGGGCTATAGAACCCGGTCTGTTCTGATATTTACCTATAGCTAGAGGGGGAGAAGAAGAGGATTCATACCTTTTCCCAATGTTATTAGCACGTAAGTGAATGTAATGGATTTGACTTGAATTCGAACTCGGCTCTCGATTCCACAATCCGTACCTCCTAGTCAGTTATGTGCCATGCGTGATACACGCGTAGGCGATCATGTATCTTTCGATACATGACTGACGAGGCAGATTTTTTTTCCCGCAGCAGGTTGCCGTTTCTTTCTACGGTAGACCAGTTGCCATCCAAGGCTATAGAACCCGGTCGGTCCTGCTATTTACCCATAGCTGGAGGGAGAAGAAGAGGATTCACACCATTCCCAAGGGTATTAGCACGTAAGTGAATGTAATGGATTCGACTGGAATTCGAGCTCGGCTCTCTGATTCCTCAATCTGAGCCACTATCCATTATATTCCCTTTATTAAGATTGTTTAACAGTATGATTTTATCAGCAGTGTCTTGGCGATTGGAAAACAAATTGCTCCATTTTCGTAGGTGTTGTGTAACAAAAGATACACCGCTTTAAGCAGTTTGAAGCTGAAAAAAAAAGCCGTTGCAAATCTATTGGGCCAATGAAAGATGAAAAGGTTATAAAGTCATGATGATATGCAAATTTCTAAGTAGGAATTGTTAATCATTCACCATTAATTCGTTGAGCGGCTCCGAAGGCAGCGCCACACGCCGTTTAGATCTTTCCTCAGCAAACGACACCTATAACACAGCAAAAGATATGTGGAATGAGCCGATAAGTCTTTTTGGGGGTGATTTCGGTTATCAGGTATACCTCTGATCTGACAGCGGTCTGGTTCGAAGGGGGCCTGGACTAATGAAGTTGGACTTTATCTATATGTGTGTGTGTGTGTGTGTGTGCGTGATCGGATGTCGTTTATGGGTTTCCACAGTTTTTATCCGATTTTGATGAATTTTTTTTTGTTTGATAGGTAATTCTTCAGTGCCAGTTTTGAGTCCAAATTGGTTGGAAAAAATTACAACCTTGAAGGTGAAAAATCGAAAAAACTGATTTTTTACACTTTGTGCTAAAATCAAAGGCAAAATTTAATGTCTGTAAAAAATAATTGCGTACAGTTAGTTTAGTGAGTTGAAATCTAATGCAAAAGATTATTAGAATTATAAAAAGAAATTATATTATAAATAAAAATTATCGTATATTATTATTATGACGGTCCATGGAAGAGGTTCCTTCCTTGCAAGATTGAGAAAGCAAAAATGGCCCTTTTCAGGGATGTTCCTCAGTTGCTCCCAGTTGTTGTTACTAATGTTGATTTTTGGGAGGGCTGACTTTAAATTTAAACTGCTCCAAATGAACGGCAAAAATTCCCAGTAATGAAAAAACCGATCAAAGACGGGGTATAATGCTAATTATATTAATAAATAGCAAAGGAATATTTCCAAGGGAAGTAATTCCGAGTTTGTTTATATCGAGTTATGTCCCTTGATAGCAATGACATGAAAGTTGAAAGAAAATACCATCTTCAGTACTAGGGATCAGTTGTCATTAATTACATGCAATTAGAACATCGACCATTGCCGCAATAAAAGCCGCATTTGTATTTGCAAACATAACTCAGGGGTTAGACTACTGGACTAACGAACAACAGGTAAGAACTTTTAAGAGGTCGGTAAGTGACGCCCGTTATTAAACTTGCATTTAGAAGATAAATCACAATTTTAAACAAAGGTGAAATGACAAAGATAAAAAAAATGCCCAAGATTGAATGAATTAGATAGAAAATAAGGGAATTAAATAAAGAAAGACAAAAAACAAACAAACAAATGAATGAAAAAAGGGAAAAATGTATGAATGAGAGATACTACTACTACTACGAATTATTATTATTATTATTATTATCATCATCATCATTCGATTTCTGCTATGGACACACTACCTACCAAGTCTGCGGAAAGACCTAAGGCAGGTCGTGGTGTGTTGTTATGGCCACATTTCATGTTAATTTTTTTTTTTTTATCTCCGATGAAGTTGCTAGCGTTACATAGACAAAGTTCTCCTTAGTGTGTGTGCTGTACTTAATAAGACAATTTTCTGTATGTCTCTTAAGCTGGGGTTTCCAGGGATTCTTTCAATGTGTTGTTTTGTTCCATTTTTATAATTCCAAGTGCACCTATTACCACTGGTATTATTCTTGTTTTTTCAATTTCCACATTTTTTCTATTTCAATTTCCAGGTCTTTGTATTTTGATAGTTTTTCAAATTCCTTGGTTGCTATGTTACAATCCGCTGGACAAGCCATATCAATTAGTAGGCAAGTTTTTTCTTTCTGGTTTTTGACAATAATGTCCGGCCTATTTGCTTCAATTTTTCTGTCTGTGTGGATGGTATAATCCCATAGAATGGTGACATCTTCTATTTCTGTAACCGGCGCTGGCCGATGTTCATACTAGTGTTTGCTTACACATTTTCCAAAGTGTTTGCACATTGTCCAGTGTAAGTATTGCCCCACTCTATCGTGACGATTTTTATATTCATTTGGGGCAAGTATAGAACATCCTGAGATTAGATGGTCTATTGTTTCTTGGTATTTGTCACAGAACCTGCATTTTGGATCCACATTATTATGTATGATATTTGCCTGAAAATTCCTAGTGAAAAGACTCTGGTCTTGCGCTGCAAGAATAAAGCCTTCAGTTTCAGACTTTAATCCAGATGCTCGTAACCATCGATGAGTATTAACTTTATCAACATTGGGTTTATTTGCACGTTCTGGATATTGGCCATGCAGAGGTTTGTCTTGCCAGCGTTGTTTCATCTGTTCAAGGGCTTTATCCTTGGCTTTCTTTTTCATATCTTTTGCTGCAATAGTTGGTTCTTGGCTTCTGTTTTGATTTACTACAGAATCTACTAAATGTAAATGTTGTTTGTATTTACTGCCTTCTTTTATTATTGAATATTTTTTTTCTTTCTGTTTTCATGTTGTTTCACTAATTTTATCATCCAGTCATTTGTTGTTTCCATGTAAGTTAGTAAGCCAATAGTTGTTGTCTTGTATGACAATTCTAGCTGAATAAGACCTCTTCCACCTTCTTTACGGGGTATGTATAGACGGTCTACATCAGCCTTTGGATGATGCATCTTATACTTAGAAAGAAGCTTTCTTGTTTTAGAATCCATTTGTCTGATGTCATTTAGAGTCCAGTTCAAGATGTTGAAACTATATTGGACCACTGGGATGGCAAGGTTATTAATGGCCATAATTCTGTTCTGAGAATTCAATTCAGTTTTTAATACCAGTCGTACCCTTCTATAGTACTCTTTTTACGCACTATTTCTTTCATTTTTCTTATGGTTATTATTCCTTCACTCTCATTTACACCTAGGTACTTATAAGCTTCTCCTTGTTCTAAATCTTTTATTGTTACAGCAGGGTCTAAACTAATA